CACAGCATGATAATTTGTGCTACATGTAGTCGAAGTTTGCCCTGCACTCGCTTTGGCACAGGGATATTCATCGCTCAGCTTGCGCTTGCCATGCTTCTGCACACATCTGTAGCGGATAGATCCCTTCAATTTTCCGTACCATTTTGCTCGAATTCCGCACTGCGGACGAAGGAGTGATTTTCCGTACAAGTACTGAAAAATGTGTGTCCCATATGGTGCAGTGGTATGTGCAGCGATTTCCAATCGATAGGTTGCGGGTTCGATTCCCGACGATTATGGTCACGCACGTCTTTCTTCTCTTTCTCAGACTCTTCCTGACTTTTCTTTCATTCTCCTGGGTGGTTACCAACAGCCAGTGCATGCCGGAGTATGGGGTGTGATGTGTGCACGGGAAAAAAAATTAAAAGACCAAAAATAAGGATTCACTGGCCAGAAAAGTCACTTCAAATAGCTGTATGGTGTAGACCAGGCTGAATAGTGGCGGTCAATTCTTCAGCCTTGCAAGCTGTTGAACGGTACAATCCCAGCACAAGTTGCTATGGCTTCTGCCATAGCATTGCTATCATCGCCTCCGGCGATGGGCGTCAAAAGGTCGAAGGTACTGAAAAATACGGAAGGTTGGCAGCGCTGACAGTATCAGAGTATGCGTCTGCAACCCTGGCCTTGGCCGTTAGCTGATATGCCTGCCTCTCACCTGCAACATGTACTTTTGTGACAGGATTTAATATGGTCGTCCTTTTTTTGGTAAGAGTAGGTGTACGGCATTCCTGCACGTCGTGGATCTGTGTCTCTAGTAGGTTGAACTGGCATTCACTTGGTTTTAGAAGCCTGGCGTGGGAATATAGAACGGTGTGCCTCACGGGCTACAAAGTAGGTTGACAAAAGCAATCTGCACCTGCCGGGCTGGCTGCTTCCCATGTCTGTACAAGGTGATGCTGCCACACACACCACAGTATCCTAGTTAGGACTGGCCATGAGTGCTGTCCCCAGTGGAGCCAGTGTCGGTCCGTCCTTCACTTGTGTATTCGCTCAAGGTGATCATTAGCGTATTTCCCGGAGTATAAGCCGCACTTTAGAATCTAGACACCAGTAGTTCACCATAAATAATGTCTGCGTGGCTTATACTACGATGGTCGAATTAACGGTGATAAAATGTGTAGATGTCTGTTTTTCGGGACAAAAAAATCTGGGTGCGGCTGATACTGGGGGGAAATACGGTACCGGGTATGTACCAAATACAAATGATCCGCTCTGTTGCCTTGCTTGTTTGTATGTACATGTAGGTGGTGGAAGACTTCACAGTTGCTCTGCTCTGCGAGGCTGTCCCAACCCTGGAGGACGTACAGGAACAGGTACAGTACCAGCAGGTGTTGTGTGACTCGGACTGTGGCTGTTGTGTTCAGGCGCGTGCCCCGTATGGGTTCCTGGGTGCCCGGAACCCCCCCTTTTTTCGCTCAAAATGCAGGATTTTGCTTCATTTTTTGAAAATTTCCCTGGGGAGGCCCCCCGGAATCCCCCCCCCCCCTTGAAGGGCACCGGCGCACGCACCTGGTGTTACCATTCCACATTGTCCGGCTCTGTCGTGTGTACACTGTAGTGCATTTCTTTACATTGAGTACCCTTACTGCTGTCACTGGCCACCTTAGCAGCCTGGGTTTTCTACTGCCACACAGGCAAAGCCAGGTAGAACTGAGTGGTGTGGCACTGTCAGATAAGTACTACCGGACGACAAGAAAACCTTTTGATGAGGTTCTACGGTGAAAAGTTGTTTTATGCCATATTCACTATTCAGTTCAAGCTTTTGCAGTCATGGAATGATGAGTCTAGCTAGCTCAATGTACATGTTATCCCAATATCTATGTGAACTTGACCTGAGGTCAGCTCGCTGTTTGTCATGGGTACTATTGTGGCGGCTATGCCATGCGGTGTACATGCAGATACTACCCAGCATTTGGACAGGTCACCTGGACACCGTGCACAAGTGCATTCAGACGTTTCCGCGCAACGTGCCAGCTCAAGTGTCCCTGGAGAACTCCCTGCTTGCGTGAGTCCCTGGAGGTGATGCCACTTAGAAGCAGCTAGCTGCAGTTTGCAACATTGCGGAATAGCCTAGATAATCTGTATCTGCGGTTAAACACTCCATATTTTTGTATTTAGGCATTTTCTGACTTTCTGTGATTATTTCTCTCCTTCTACCCCACTGTGTACAAAGGTTCATTCTGGTGAATGATGAAACTCACCGCTGCCTATCCAGCTATGACTTGGGACCAGCCCAGCCGCCCGATGCCCCTACCAACGGTGAGCTGCGTTTTTGAACTTGTACTTGTACGTTTGGGGCATCCAAACTGTGACATGCCTGCTGTATTGTAGGCACAATTTAATACTTATTTTTTAGCAAGATTTTGTGCACGTGGTCATATACTGCAGATTTGGAAATGATTACCTACATTACGGAGCACCAAGGCCATAGCGACGTCGACAAGTAGTGGAGAATCTTGAAGTTCAGACGATCACACCTGCTTATCATCATCACTGCAGTATGCAGTACTGTTCACTGAGATGTCTGTAGAAACTGATAGTTCTCCTGTGTTTGTGCTATGTATGCTGTGTGTGCGGATACTGACGGTAATGCAGAGTGATGCTGGAATGTCAGCGCAATTCTAGGTGTGCCGATAGCATTTAGTGATCCGTCCGATGTAGTTAACGTAGTGGTTGTCTTTCTTGTTGCCCGCCTATTGTGATACATGTACACCTCTGTGATCCCATCCACAGCAGACTTTCTATCACCCGGTCAACGCCGTCTCGTTTTGACGTCCTTCTATAAGTCGACGGTGGGGTCAATGTTCCCACATGCACTTCAAGATGACAATGGTATGTTCCTGCTCACGGTTCTGACTTCCCCGTGCCTATGTACTGAGCTGCTGATGTTTTGCCTTCTGCTCTCTCTCTCTCTCTCTCTCTCTCTCTCTCTCTCTCTCTCTCTCTCTCTCGCTCGCTCGCTCGCCCTCTTTCTTTCTTTCTCTCTTCTTTCAGTCTCCCTTTCCCTCCCTCCCTCTCTCCCTGTCCCTTTCTCCCTGTCCCTTTTTCCCTCTCCCTCTCCCTCTCTCATGGATGTTCTCTCCCCTTCCCACCCTCCAAGATGTGTCCATTCACACACTGCGTATTCTGGGGATGGGATCAAGAGACAGACAAGATGCGCACAGTGATTGTACGATGCTATGCTGCCATGTCGTTTGTGTGTGTGCAGGTGCTGATACAGACTTGCGCAATATCATTCCCCATCAACCCGTGGAGACCTACCTGTGTGCGGAGGTTAGTCAACTTGAAATATTTACAGTTCACTAGTTCAGACTGAGACGGACTACAGCAAAACCTGTAACTTAAGACCACCGTGACTAGCGACCAGCCTGGTGCTACAGACCACTTCGCCAGGCACGGCCGTCTCACATTCATAACTATATGGTTGTGCGGTGCAAACCTCTAACTAAGGACCACCTGCCACTAAAGACCGCTTTCTCTGGCCCTAAGATTTACTGTATATGTACCTGTAGCAATGCCACTACCCGGCTATAATTATGATCAAGGCACAGATGCAGCTGTTTGTTGGCTTCCATACGATTTCTGTACTGTAATAGCGGAAACTTATGATTTAGTCGGCGAATAATGCAGTCATCTTCAAACGAAGGCAATTTGTCTGGTTGTTCGTCCATGGATGTTGAAAACTTGAATATGAAAAGCATGGAAAGGCTACTTAAAATTGACAAAACCACGAAATTAAATTCCAGGCGAATATTTCTGCTCATACACTATGTGTTGGAATGGCGAAGATCCAAGCGCGAGTTTGAACGTCCACTATCCATGAATAGGAGAATGCTTCCCCCCCCCCCCCCCCACCATTTCCCTTCCTCCCCTTACAGATTGAATGCACCCCCCCCCCCCCTCTTATGGCATTGGGTTGTGGTACACAATAGAGAGGTTCTGCTATATGTGAAACGTAGAGAAATTACGTAGAGAGCTGGTGTCTGGGTTAGAGTCTACGGCTTCGCATGTTTAGGTCCAGATTTCTACGCGTAGATGAGGTTCTCTTGTAATCTCTACGTAGAAAATGCGCACATATCTGCTGGGTATCATTCAAATGCAGGCAGAAACTACCAAAATATGGAAGGGGAAATTCCCAGTACACATGCTATGGGAAAGCGAAGAGTTCGGACTGTTCCTGGGATTCTTCACGTCGTGTTCCCGTAGCGTACATCGCAGAGCATCACTATTGTGACTGTGAAGATGACCAGGACTATCAACACAATTACAGCAGGGGGACTAGCTCACATGGTAGAGCGCTCGCTTAGCATGCGAGAGGTACCGGGATCGATACCCGGGTTCTCCAGGCAGTACTTTTTTTTACTCTTGAAGTCTTCCGAGATATTTTTTACTTTGAAGAAGTTCTAGCCTACTACGAGTACAGTAGTAAATCACTACTTCATGGCTGAAGCATTTAGAAAAGCGATCCTGTCAGCTTTTCTATTATTGTGTTCACATGGCAGAAAAAACGACACCGCTATGCTACGTAAGTTTCTACGTAAGGTGCTCGGTATTAGATCTACCAACGGGTGGTAGCCGCGTGCTGTGCACGTGCACGGCAGACATTGTGTTGCATGCCGTGCATGCAGTCCGTTTTCGGATGTGCATGCGCGAGGAACTTCCTTCTTTGGAACTGCTTCTTGCATGAGCTGTTTCGGATATTTCGTGTCCTGGCTTATTTCGCTTCGGCTCTGCTGAGACCTCTTTTCACGGAATATTACTCAATGACAGGTGAGTTGACCAGTTCCCTTTGATTCATTTGCTTGTGTTGACTCTTTCATTTACGAAAAGTGTGCTGATTTTAGGTGGAATACAATAAAATAATAATGGAAAAGCTGACAGGATCTCTTTTCTAAATTTAGCTTTTCTGCTGTCGAGGCCTCCTTTTACGGAATACTCAATGACAGGTGATCTCTGAGTTGACCAGTTTCCTTCAAATCATTTGCTTATGCTCACCCTTTCATTTACGGAAACGTGTGCTGATTTTATTCGGATTTAATAGATCCATTCGTATCTCTTTGCACTTGCCAACAGTGTGCGAAGAACGCGAGTTCACCTTCTTGACGGTAAGGCTTAGATGTGTTGTCGAAATACATGTACTCATGTTCATTGTACATTGGTACGTTACAAGTAAGGCACTGGTCATGATTGCTTCCGGGATTCCGTGCTCCGATCATGGGGTAGAATCTGAATTTTGCAGTGGCATAGCATCGTTGGCAGTTCCCAATCTGGAGGCGAAGGTTCAAGGACGCATTGGCCGAGTACTAACGTTTATAATAGTATGCAAAATAAATTCGCATATCAGGGAAAATCTCCATTATGGAGAGGTTCATGCATTCAGTGACTTGTTTGCTTCATACGAAACAAGCCAATGGGTGCAGTCGTGAAAATCTCGTACGATTGGATTTGTTTACTCGAGTCTGGGCTATTTGATTTGTGAGTACCGCCGAGATTGCACTGCCCCAAATAAAGTTGCGTGCCGGTAGAGCAAGAATTACGATCTGCAATCTGTTTGTTGTACCTGCAAGAATGTGCTGTACATGTATCGTATTTTCTCTGTTGTTGTTTCAGTTGCCGTCATGTTGCTAAAGAAAGGTTCAGTGACTCATTTGTTTCATAAAAGACGAGTCAATGGTTTGGTCTGGCTTAGAATCTTTCGCTGTAGAAGAAATCTATTCGTGTCGCTATTGCAGTATTGGAGAAATAATTGTATTCACTCGTTATAAAAATAGGGTTAAGACAAACTCACAGAGCAAATGCCATCGGTCCCTTGATGTTCGTCCTAAAGAGGTTTGACTGGATATCATTCATACTCCCCCAAAGTCGTGTAACATGTTATTATTATGGAGTGCCTTGTTTATCTCTCAGTACCTCCAACCATATATCCTTGCCCCTTATATCCTCAGGATCAGTGTAGTTGTTGGAACGAGGTGTCGGACTCAGCAATGTATTTGTTTACATTTTAATACATGTTTATTGTTCCTACTTTGCTGTGTTGTTTTAGATAATCGTGGACTTGTAACACTTTGAAGTCATTGAACTGCTTCCAAAAGTTTTACCGACATCAACAGGATTACGATTTCACTACAATATGATGCCGGATGACCTTATCACGACAACCCATGACTACAATTATAAACACAGAATCAACAAAAACATCTGCGGCACGCACCTGGTTACAATTCTCATGCAAATGTGATTTAGGGTGTGGACATCTGAATTTTCTGAAACACAAGACAATTTTATGACAGAGTCATGGAATTCTGCAACATCCACAGAATGACCTGCGTATAAAAAAAAGTATCACCGCCACTACTCATATGATTCCCCTGCAGAAGAACATGAATACATGTATGCAAGACTAGTTCCATTTTCTGCAAGAAAAGGCTTGCACATCAATGCAAATTGATATGATACACGTACATGTACATAGCCATAGGGGCTCCCGTAAGAAGACCATAGGTCTGTGCGAAACACCCTAGTAAAATAAAATAATAATAATAATAACATGTAGAGTCGCTACATTTAGGCCATCATTTAGGGCATTCCATTGGTGACACAATTATAGGTTCTGATCGGTGGAATATGCTGCCTTCCACTGTTCGCTCTTGTACAGATTATCGCCCATTTGTTCGTTCATGCTTAACCTTTCTAGGGGCTCCCGTAAGAAGACCATAGGTCTGTGGGAAACACCCTAGTAAAATAAATAAAATAAAAATAATACCGGTAATATCCTTTAGCCAAAAAACAAAAGAAATTATAGCAATAAAAACTGCTTTATGGCAGTTTTCTAAAAAAGGTTATTGTGTTCTAGTCCATGGACCCCGTCTAAAAAGTAAGAAATTAACGAAATGTGATAGCCGAAAATTAAAATTTCACACAAAACCTCACAATAATCACACACAGGATGCGAGACGACCTTTTCCCCTCGTGGTCCTCTTTCACATGCAAGCATGTTGGCGCAGTACATGTACTTGTACAAGTACAAGTGTCGGAATAAACAAGTGTTGAAAGCCGTACTATTAGATCTTCAAGTGTCGTGATTATTGTGAGGTTTTGTGTGAAATTTTAATTTTCGGCTATCACATTTCGTTAATTTCTTACTTTTTAGACGGGGTCCATGGACTAGAACACAATAACCTTTTTTAGAAAACTGCCATAAAGCAGTTTTTATTGCTATATGAGTATTGTAACTGATCATGCACAATTTGGGAAATGTTGACTAATGACAAAAAGGTAGGGGTGAAAGTTGGCACCGAGATCCCGAGTTCGAGTACTCTGATTTTCTCCGATCGAATATTCGAGTATTCGAGTATTCTTCATCTCCTAAAAATTGCACACCAAGGGCCTTAAAATCTCATGATACAACCCTGATTGAACCGAGTAGCAGTCATTTTTCTCGGGTATATTGGTTGGTGGGTCATTTGGGCTCTCTCTACTCGCGAACAAATGTTCACCACACAGTCTGCACATCAATATCTGCCGACTGCTGCTCTAAAACTGCAGATTTCTGTGGAAAATGCATGTACCATGTATGAACGAGTACTCTGATTTATTCCGAGTACGATTATTTTTGAAAAAACCGAGCGAGTACTCGAGTATTCGGTATAATTGTTTCACCCCTACAAAAAGGACATAGCAAGGATTTTCTGGAAGCGCCTATTGCTTCTCTCTGTCCTGTGTTGGCTCCTCCGCTGAAGTTGAGCTTCGCTCGCTTGACTTTCGCGATATGTTGTGCACTGAGACTGCTGCTTGCACAGTAGATTTGTTCAAGGTGTTGTCCTCAGTAAGGGGAAACGCCGGGTAGTGGTACACTCCACATTGCGCGTTAATGCAAATCAACAAAGCGACGTTGCTTCGCTGACTTCTGTGCCTGAATGATATGAGCCTTGTCATGAGATACTGGTTCAGCCAGGTGCAACTGCACATGACACGCAGAACACTCCGTCAACACATCTCATCTTGCCCTTGACACATTTTCTCTTGATAAGGCTCATCAAAAAGAAGACAAAAAGTAGTGCCTGGAGAACCCGGGTATCGATCCCGGTACCTCTCGCATGCTAAGCGAGCGCTCTACCATGTGAGCTAGTCCCCCTGCTGCATTTTTGTGGAGTATGGGATGGAAATGGAGAACAGCAAAAGTGAAAGATATGGGAATGCCTGGGAGCCATACACATAAACCTTGTTTTGTTAATAGATGTTGGTTGACAGCATGTAACAAGGTGGAGACCACTGTGTTCGGAAACAGTGACCTTACTACAACCTCCGTGGTTGGTAGAGCCCCGGTCTTCACGACCATCTGAACCATATAGGTGTTAGACCCGGTTCTGACCTTCTTTATTCTAGGAAGTTGTCTTAGTTTTTTCTTGTTGTTGTACCGTCCGTCGTATATACGTTGTTCGCGCCTGGATGTCATCTTGATACTCGGTCTTCAAAAAATTTGTAGCTTTTGTTCTGAAATTGTTCTGTTTACTTTTCTTTTTCGTACTTTTCAACTTCTGCCCTGGCAGAAGTTGGTAACGAGTTGAAAAAGCTTCAGTAAGCCAACAAAATAATACACGAACGTCCATGTAGGCGTGCCCGGGTCCACAGCTACCTCACGCGAATGTCTGCTCGGGCATCATCCGCTGCCTTTGCAGACGCCGCGACAAACACCTCCCCAGAGAGTGGCATGAGCGGTGGCTCCACAGCAACATCCACGCACACTTCGGTCAGCAAATCAGCCAGGATGTCACGCACTTCATTATGCCGTATTGTCGGGAATCCTCCGCTCGGGCAGCTCATGGCATCATCATCATCATCATCATCATCATCTGTGTTGCCGAAAAAATAATAATAGTAAAATAAAATGTGTGGATTCACAGGAAGTGTGAGTTACGAAGTCTGAAGAAAATGTTGAACAGTCTCTGCTGGGATGACGACTATACCATAGCTCAGTGGTTAGAGCATCGCTAGCTACAAGCGAGGGTCCCTGGTTCGAGTCCTGGAGGTTAGTCAATTTTTTCTTCAGACTTTTCCCGTTTGTCTCTTTCCCTCAAATTAGTGAAAATAAAAAATAAAAATAAAAAACGGCATTATGCAGCTGTGTAAGCAGTAGATGCACAGTGTGACTGCCAGGCATCTCTGTCAGATGCCAACTGGCAATTCTCATGCAGAGACATACCAGTCCACGAAACGATATTGTCAGCAAAGGAAATCTTCGGACGACCACGCTTTCTCTTACCATCCACGACACCAAATATCACGCCATGTACAAGCTCGCAGCCAGATGGGCGGCATGTATGCCCGAAATAGGTCAGCTTGCGCATCTTGACCCTGGCATGGGCTGCACTAAATGGACAGACACAGGAGCGGGTTAATGGACATCCTCCAATGCCCAGTCGTACCGCAGCGCCAAAGCATCACGGAAATCTCCTTTCGAGAGGTAGTCACCATGTTCCCGAAGTGGCAATGGATTGAGCCAGCTGGACATCCCTCGGGACGCCAGGTACCCAAGCCAGGTCAACGAGCCCCATCGAGCGATGCAGCTTGCTCCATCAGCTTGAAGTCAGTTTCACTTGCTGCAGCTTGCCGCTTCGCGGTGTATCTTTTTTGCATTAACAGCAGCCTCCCTTATGCATTCAGTCCGGCACCTTTCCCAGGATGCGTTGATCTGATTGACTATTTCAGCCTTTGTCATAGTCACTGACGCGCCCAATTCTGTCTGACTCATCCTCTGGAACGACGGGATTGCCAGACCACCCAACCGCGTGGGCAGTCTCAGCATGCGTAAGTCCTCCTCGGTGAAGGCACCACGGCCCGTCAGTGCCGGGAGAAACTCGAAAGCGCTCTTGACACACTCATCCGGGATGGGCACAGTGCGGAAAAGGTACAGCCACCTACCCCATAAACCATGGGCTAGTGCTGCGTAGGCGGCATGTGGCTCCGTCTTGGCAAACTGAGACAGCCTCCGCAGCTCGCGCGACCAACCATCCAATCTCTTCCTCACGAGACCAGCCACCGCCTCCGGTTCGCCAACAAATGACCTGAGATACCTGGCTGCGTCGGTCACTATGCGGATCCCGGTACCAGCAAACATTTCGGACGCCTCCTCTGCTAAGTCTGGCTTGACGAGTAGAGTTGTCTTGTTTGGGTTGGTATGGTACCCGTAGAGGCGCCCACGATCCTTTATGGTAGTCCATCTTTATGGTAGTCGTCCGTTGATAGTGATGCTCTGCAAATACAGTTTGTCGGCACTCCGTCCAGTGGTAGATCACCATTTCTCGGGCTTGCTCGTTCAGACTGATGTGGGTGGACCTTGGCTCCATGGTCAGCCAGGATGTATATGTGTGTGTGTGTGTGTGTGTGTGTGTGTGTGTGTGTGTGTGTGTGTGTGTGTGTGTGTGTGTGTGTGTGTGTGTGTGTGTGTGTGTGTGTCCCATATGGTGCAGTGGTATGTGCAGTCGATTTCCAATCGAGAGGTTGCGGGTTCAATTCCCGACGATTATGGTCGCACACGTCTTTCTTCTCTTTCTCGGACTCTTCCTCACTTTTCTTTCATTCTCCTGGGTGGTTACCAACAGCCAGTGTATGCCGGAGTATGTGGTGTGGTGTGTGTGTGTAGGAAAAAATTGAAAAATGAAAAATAGGGATTCACTGGCCAGAAAAAGTCACTTCAAACAGCTGTGTGGTGGATACCAGGCTAAAAATAGTGGTGGTCAATTCATCAGCCTTGCAAGCTGTTGAATGGTGTAATCCCAGCACAAGTTGCTATGTCTAACATAGCTCTTCGCTATCATCGCTTCCGCGATGGGCATGTCCGATATCTGAGGTGTGTGTGTGTGTGTGTGTGTGTGTGTGTGTGTGTGTGTGTGTGTGTGTGTGTGTGTGTGTGTGTGTGTGTGTGTGTGTGTGTGTGTGTGTGTGTGTGTGTGTGTGTGTGTGTGTGTGTGTGTGTGTGTGTGTGTGTGTGTGTGTGTGTGTGTGTGTGTGTGTGTGTGTGTGTGTGTGTGTGTGTGTGTGTGTGTGTGTGTGTGTGTGTGTGTGTGTGTGTGTGTGTGTGTGTGTGTGTGTGTGTGTGTGTGTGTGTGTGTGTGTGTGTGTGTGTGTGTGTGTGTGTGTGTGTGTGTGTGTGTGTGTGTGTGTGTGTGTGTGTGTGTGTGTGTGTGTGTGTGTGTGTGTGTGTGTGTGTGTGTGTGTGTGTGTGTGTGTGTGTGTGTGTGTGTGTGTGTGTGTGTGTGTGTGTGTGTGTGTGTGTGTGTGTGTGTGTGTGTGTGTGTGTGTGTGTGTGTGTGTGTGTGTGTGTGTGTGTGTGTGTGTGTGTGTGTGTGTGTGTGTGTGTGTGTGTGTGTGTGTGTGTGTGTGTGTGTGTGTGTGTGTGTGTGTGTGTGTGTGTGTGTGTGTGTGTGTGTGTGTGTGTGTGTGTGTGTGTGTGTGTGTGTGTGTGTGTGTGTGTGTGTGTGTGTGTGTGTGTGTGTGTGTGTGTGTGTGTGTGTGTGTGTGTGTGTGTGTGTGTGTGTGTGTGTGTGTGTGTGTGTGTGTGTGTGTGTGTGTGTGTGTGTGTGTGTGTGTGTGTGTGTGTGTGTGTGTGTGTGTGTGTGTGTGTGTGTGTGTGTGTGTGTGTGTGTGTGTGTGTGTGTGTGTGTGTGTGTGTGTGTGTGTGTGTGTGTGTGTGTGTGTGTGTGTGTGTGTGTGTGTGTGTGTGTGTGTGTGTGTGTGTGTGTGTGTGTGTGTGTGTGTGTGTGTGTGTGTGTGTGTGTGATTGTGTGTGTGTGATTGTGTGTGTGTGATTGTGTGTGTGTGATTGTGTGTGTGTGATTGTGTGCGTGCGTGCGCGTGTGTGTGTGTGTTCGGGGTGAAACGATTATCTATTTTGACCAATCGATCACTCATTCATAATATTCGATCGAGTATCCGATTATTTCGAGTATTTTATCAAAATTCAAAAGCGCTAGATTTGTGAGTTCTCGACCAATTCGGAAGAAATTATCTGTGAAAAGTCGCCAACGTCTTGTACAGAGTGTAAATTAGCGATTTTCACCAATACTTTCATTATCTCATAACAAACTAACGTTACTTGCCGTGGTGATCGCATCATCCAAGTCATAAAATACTGACTCAAAGCATGCATACCAGTCGATGAGCGGTACAACAGAAGTTTTTGAAAAAATAGAATGCCAATACTAAAAACGATCGAATGCAAAATTTCGAATACTTGCTCGTTTGAAATTTTCGAACGAATACTCGAATATTCGAACTGATCGTTTCACCCCTAGTGTGTGTGCATGTCTGTCTGTCTGCATTGCTGTTTCAGGAGTACAAGTGTTATGCGTTGCACTTCAACTTCCACCAGCTGTTCACGTTGTTTACACCCAGTACTCCCACATATTCTATGAGGTAAGTTGTGAAACAGCATTGTGTGCTAGTGACTCACAACATCCAGCATAGTGTTATTATGTATGTGGTGCGGTATGAACGCCGTGCACACTTAGCGCAAAGTCAAATTGGCCGATACTTCAACTCTCCCACAGCCTGGAAAGTTGCATAGAATGTGAGTTTGAGTTGTCGCATTTTTCCTTCAGCACCTTTCCCTGCTTTGAACCCAGTGTAGGTACGTGTAAGCAGCCTCCCAGGTTTGGCGAGCACGTGGCAGGAGTGTACTGGGATATATGCACTCGGGGATATATGTATGTATGCTGCTGCTACTCTTGCATTAAGTTTCGGTGGAATATTGTGTGTTGGCCGCTATAATTATACTCATCGATTCACATTAGTGTTGAAACGAATAATCGAATAATCGAATAATTTAGAATATTCGTGGGGTGAACGAATAATCGAATAGTCGTAGGAATTATCAGAAATCGAAAACAGAAAAAAAAGGTCTATGCTCAGTGCTGACCCTGCTGATATTTGCACGGCGTAGATCTTCTCAATCTCCTCTCCTCCAAGTTTTAATCTCCCATCGGTATACAGTAGTAATACTTCTGTTCTTTCCATACGAGGGAAACATGGATGCAGTGAATGTGATTTTCGGTCTTTGACCACTTTCGACCAAGACCCTATGCAGAGTTGGATCAGGCGTTGCACACTCTGGGGGGTTATGTATGTACTCTTGGCGGTACCGGTTTTGCACCTCCACATAACAAAATCCGATATTAATCAGCAAAAAATTAAAAAAAAACTACTTAAAAAGTGCTGAAAAAGTGTTGAAAAATGCCATCATGCGTATGATAGAATATAGATTATTCGTTCGATGGAGGGCGAAATTATTCGATAGATTATTCGTTCGAAGAATCCGTGTTCGGTTTAAACACTAATTCACATTGTGCGGACATGTGGTGTGCATGCGGTGTGTACCCTTGTACCCAGATCACTGAGCTACAGCACACTGGACTCACTGACCACCGACCAGTTTATCAGCGTGTAGTCGGCATAAAGCGACGGCAACGTTGCCTTGGACGGCGATGAGGATGATGTGCGAGATTTGCAGCCACGGCGAATGTTAAACGCGGATTCATCTGGATTATTGACAAGGCGTACAGCGTACAACGACCTGGCCGTACCATGATTGCACTGCCCGTGTAGTCATTGTCCCAGACCAGCAGCACAAGTTCCATACCGTACTATTTCTAATGTGTTATCAAGAAACGAACGGATATTCTAATATGCAACTGCTCATACTTCGAAGTACATGGACTTCACAGAATATTTACCGAGTAGTTTAAAATTTGGGTAGATGGCACACACTGCAAACAAAGGATACTTGGGAGAAAAGCTGAACTGACCTTGAACATTATAATTTGACGTACATGATTGCTTGGCTTGAGCATTGAGCCCCTTTTCTGCATATTTGTTAGGCATGCTACTTGACATGCTACATAACTAGTCAACAATAGCCATTTTCTTTTTTTATCATTACTAAATCAGCAGCACATTACCAATCAAAAAATGATGGTTGAAGGAAAATAAAAGCTTGGATAAACATGTGTTTCATGAACCGTTCTTTGGAAGTAAGTGATGAGACATATTTTAAAAGTCTTTCTACGGCTGCTGGTTGAACCTGAAAGTGTGGCAAAGGGAGAACGAATGAGTTATTGTCGCTTCAGGTTGACCTGGTAGTCGTGTTGATGGTGGAGATCGAGGTGAACGGCGTCCCAATCTACTCTGTGCTAGGCCAATGGCAATGAGGGGCAGAAAGGGAACTCACGGCAGCTAAATGTTCTCCCGCCTATCACGCACGAGACTGTGCCGGGGTACAGTCGGCAATGCCTGATGTTGCTGCTGCTGGCTTTATGATACTGAAATCCATCCTAGACGTATGTGTTCTTTTGGCGCCTGTCATGATGGCTGCTCCGCACCTCCAGTTTTGCTCAGCTGCATAGTCAACACACACACGCAACATCGAAAAACTATTATCTTCGGCCAAAAGAAGAAATCTGGTCTCATGCACCCATCAGCACAGATCCGACGCGCTCGATTGGATTTCATGGAGCAGTAACTGTATTACTGAAATGCCTTGGCCACAGATTGATTTCAGGACAGTCACAGGCCAATGCCTACACCAAAAAGTGTCCACAGGAGGTGTGCCACTGCCTCCATATGTCCTGAATCAAACTCACAACATTGTGATGGTGTGTTTGATCTCACTGTCCGGGAGAGGGGGCCTGTTGTAGAGTATCCGGGTGTGGCAACCTAATCAAACTCACAATTGCCACCTCAATACTAGATATCTCTGAAAAGCAATGCACATGGATCACATACTACTTATAGCTAGCCTCCTGTTCAAGTACAAATACGGCAACGCAGAAGCAGAAGGGATTTACCCCCACTTCATCTACAGAAACCAAAATGCACTTGCACAGTTGCAGAGAATGTCGCCGGGTCCGGACGCCCCAAAAAGGTACACAAATTTGTGTTCCAGTGATTGAGCACAGAATGAGAAATCCCTGAGTGACAACATGACAAGAACCACAAACTTATCAAGTTCAAACTTACATGCTGTGTTGATGAGGTCAAACACGAAAGCACCGTCAGAGAATCACCAGCAGCAACAGCCATAGGTCACAGGCAGGGAAAAGGAAGAAAACAAAAAGAGTTGAACACTCTACACAAGGTGCATTATTAGTAGTAGTAGTGATGGGAACAGTGATGGGTGCAGTCAACACACAACATACACAACTACACGCACCCGCACACATGCACGTACGCACCCGCACACATGCACGTACGCACCCGCACACATGCACGTGCGCACCCGCATGCACACGCACACACACACACACACACACACAACCACCATCATCACCACCCCACCAAGAACACATGAAGGCACACATGCAAGCCTACATGCACATGCCAACAACAACAACAACAACAACAGCGTTTTCTTACCCGTATAACGTCCACCCAGTTCCAACCGCGTGGCCGCTCCTCCGCATTAGCACCTATACAAAACAAGACAACAGAGAAGCCGGCAATGCCGTGGATCCAGTCACATCCTACAAAATTATGTGTGTGTGTGTGTGTGCTGTGTGTGCTGTGTGTGTGTGTGCGTGTGGTGTGTGTGTGCGTGTGTGTGTGCATGCGTGTGTGTGTGTGTGCGTGTGCAGAGATCATGTGACATCAAGTCACTTGTGGAAAGTGAAATCCAACCTCGGGGTCCGTGCTGCTGCTCAGAGCTCTAGAGGCAGGGCTGGATTGTACAGTACTGTCGGCCAGCCGAAGAACGGACAGCCGAAGAACGGACAGCCGAAGAACGGACAGCCGAAGAACGGACAGCCGAAGAACGGACAGCCGAAGAACGACAGCCGAAGAACGGACAGCCGAAGAACGGACAGCCGAAGAACGGACAGCCGAAGAACGGACAGCCGAAGAACGGACAGCCGAAGAACGGACAGCCGAAGAACGACAGCCGAAGAACGACAGCCGAAGAACGACAGCCGAAGAACGGACAGCCGAAGAACGGACAGCCGAAGAACGGACAGCCGAAGAACGGACAGCCGAAGAACGGACAGCCGAAGAACGGACAGCCGAAGAACGGACAGCCGAAGAACGGACAGCCGAAGAACGGACAGCCGAAGAACGGCCAGGCTAGAATTTTGACCAACTTTTAAGAATGATGTAGGCTGGATTTTTGCAGATAAGAACGAAAACCGTAATTTCCACTATAATGTACACTCAGACGTATAACTGTGCATAAATGTACATGTACGACTGTCCCATCAAATAAGAACGAAACCGCTGTGTTCGCTAAAAATAAGAACGGGCTAGGCTAGAACCCTGACCCCCAGTTCTTCGGCGCCCGACAGTGCTGTACTGTACAACGGCAATGCACAGGCAATGCACAGGCAATGCACAGGCAATGCACAGGCAATGCACAGGCAATGCACAGGCAATGCACAGGCAATGCATAGCTCTGAGAATCTGAGGTTACACCCAGAATGAAGACTACACAAGCAATCTCTAACAGCAGGGTGACCACTGCACACCCCACACTTTGGTGCCGAAGAATAAAGTAGAGACCACGCGATAGATAGGTTGTTTGACCAGGTTTCCCGGATAAGAGATGTGCCCGTTCAGAGAGATTTTCGAGGCAAATATAAAACCATTTGGATTCCACACGCTCCGCTGAGACGAACAGATCCTGCACTAGTATGACCAAGAGTATATAACAAGAGTGTGCAACTCCTATCTCGAGCTTTGATGGGTTCACCCACGGCGGGATCTTTTTATCGCGTCATTCTTCGGTAGAAGTATGACCAAGTGTGTATGCTTTCCCGTGCTTGTGTTGTAGATATGATGAGAGTTAATCAGGTTCAGGACACATCAATCTATCGTCCATTGTTCTGCTTCGACTACCGTAGCTGCGATGTACAAATTATTTGTACTTTGATCTCTGGCTACGCATGATGGCATCAGTGAGCCAAACAGCCGCCAAAGACTGATGATGTCATAACAAACATTCCACCAAGGGCTAGGGGATCGTTGAGTTGCGCACTCTTGGTTATGTACTCTTGGTTATGCACTCTTGGTTATGTACTCTTGGTTATGCACTCTTGGTTATGCACTCTTGGTTATGCACTCTTGGTTATGTACTCTTGGTTATGCACTCTTGGTTATGCACTCTTGGTTATGCACTCTTGGTTATGCACTCTTGGTTATGCACTCTTGGTTATGCACTCTTGGTTATGTACTCTTGGTTATGCACTCTTGGTATGACGCATTATGTAGCCTGTCCCTTGAAGAGCTGACCTCATAATACCATGTGCTTCCCGTGCTTTCCCACTTTTCAGACTCCTGACAGGGTACTGCATACACTAACAGAGTGCGATGTACAGCACTACAGCAACAAATTGACTGGACCGCAATTTCCCACACATTACACAATACTACTCACAGACCTAAACCCAGTGCGTTGAAAAGTCTATGACGATTCAACTGACTGTTAGTGCCACCGTACAGCCTATCTTTAGACTCACCGAATCTCTCTGCCAGCCGGCGCTTCTGCGCCTTGGTGAGTTGCTCCTTCTTTTCCTTCTTCTTCCCAGCTGCAGGCTGCGCCGAAGGACTGTCTCCACCACCAGTATCAGCTGTCGATAGCTGTGCAGCAACAAACCAAATTCAGAATAATACTATTTATTTTGACACATAGATACAACTGTTAAGTGAGAATACTGTATTTCACTGGATTCACACCATACCATCATCACAATAGAAGGGTACCAGTATTTGGGGAACAAATCAATGAGTAAAAAAGGAAAGACACATCCATGCCAGTAGCACAGTTGTATGTAGCTGTGTTGCAACACATCACTACTACTTGTACCAGGTAGAGCCATGCCTTGCATGTCCGTATGCGTCCATAATACCACAACACATGGGTAACTGCCACACCAGCCTCAGCTTCAGAGCCAACCAAGACACCAAGAAGCCAACATGCATTGTATTCAAGCATCTTCCCCAACAGACAACCAACAACAAGAAAGCAACAGTGTTTGTCAAACATTTCACATGGGAGAGATTTATCCAGCAGCAACGTGGACAGTGATGTGGAGAGTGCCCAGGGCAAAAGAAGGTAGGTACACTGCATACAACCGACCTATAAACAAACCGCCTGGCACACTGTGAGTGTGTGTGTGTGTGATGTGCGGACAGGTGTAGACTTGCACATGCAAGAGTGTAGAATACCGCAAACTTGAGAACGCATAATCATGATGATCGTGGCGAGAGGAGTACTCTTAGCCAGAACTTGGCAGCTTGGAGAGCGTTGTGTGGGCAGGCGTGTATCTACCGCCATTCTGCTAGGTGACTGGTGTCTTTTATCACCATTTCCCTACTAAGTAGAGACAACGCTGAACAAATAGTTCAATACCGACATGCAATACGTGGCGGTGGCCAGTGGTATTGGGAGTACAGAGTTGGGTTACACTGTCTGTCTGTGTTATGCTCTGCCTCTGAGGTGTTGAGCACTGTCAGCACACTGGGTACATTCTCTGGTTACAATGTCCATGAAATTGGCACATAGCCTAGGTACAGGCAATATTCCAGGAAGTACATGCACAGCGCGGGATTGGCACAACCGCATAGGCAGTGATCAGGTGACGGGGACTTCAGGTGGCAAAACTGAAAAAGGTGACAGACAAGTTGCGATGTGTTCACACGTCACACATACTTGAGTGCAGCAGCGCACATGAACAAGACAAGGCACAGCAAACACTACATGTATACAGTGGTGCAAAGTGAAATCCAGCCCATAGGGGTTGGATTTCACCTGCAGTCCTGCCCAGAGAAATCCCACCTCGTGGATATACTAGCGTTACGCAGCCCTAGCACCACCATCACCCCCCCCCCCCCCCACACACACACGCGCGCGCGCGCGCCACTCTGCGCACTTGAGCAAGGCGCTACTTTATTCACGAGGTCGGATCTCTCAGCCACTTGCTTCAGCAAGGATAGCAATGACTGGAGACACAATGCACTGACTCACCGCCTCCTCACGCATTGTCACATTCTTCTCTATCGTCTCAGCAAGCTCACTCTTTGCCCACTCAATGAGGGTGAATGTCACTGCTTCACCAATGTTATCAGCGGCCTGACCAGCAAGACACAGACACAACAGGTGAAACGAAACATGTCTGGTTAGTACGAAACGGAGTGAAGCATTGGAAATTATTATTATTCTATCTCCTCTGCTTGCCTTCATATACCTGCGTTTTTTCTAATCTCCTTATGTTGTCTGATGGTTGGTTTTGCCATGAAACTCAACGACAAAACAGCCCTATTTTACTTCCTTTTGTGTACCTCTTGCATTCATTGGAAATTAGGAATACCACCATCTCGCATGCTACAGTACAATGTACAACACAGGATACGGCTCTCTCAGAGAAACACATCATGTTCTGGAATATTCCCAGCTTGTGGTGAATCTTGCATGACCTTTCATTGTACTCAGGTTTCATTTCTTTTATTCTAGTGCATGCTGCTGGCGCCTGATGTATTGACCGCAGGCCAGTCTCAACCTTTGCATTGTCTGAGATTCAAGTAGCGTATCGTTTGATGCATGTGCTGTCTCCATGCTATCTAGTCGTAATATATTCACTCGTCTTTGCATTTGTGCACAGTCCTGTGGATACTCGCGGGCTGCGATTGCGCTCTCGCTTTCGTCATTCTAGAATGTATACTTCCATGCCTTTGAAGTTTTTTAGTTGTCAGTTTTGAACTGTAGGAAGCAGTTTACAGTTTGTGTTCTTGCAGTTTTATCTCAGAGGAGAAAGTTCTTGGTCTCATACTGTTACGAGTTGCTGTTGTATCTGGTTGAACGCATGCCGGGGCAACAGAGGGCAGCATGAGTAGCCATAGTGGTCCTATTCGAGCCGGATCTCAGAGCCAGATCCAAGAAGTCCTGCGCGACGACGAGCAAGTCCCAGGCGCTGAGTGTAGACGGAGCTCGCGGTCTACCAAAGGGAGACCGCCGAGCAGATACGGGTTTGATAACTGGAGTGACGTCCCGGACAGCGTGAGCTCTGCAGGACATGCGCCCTCGAAAGTTTCAGGAACTGCTGCGTCGCAGGCGTCACTTCGTGCAGAGATGCTTCGTGTAGAACTTGAGGCTGCAAGGCAAATCGCTGAGCTGGAGGAGGAAGCCGAGACACGCAAGTTGGCTCGTGAGACAAGTTTGGTGCAGAGGGAACTGGAGGTTCGAAGAGCCGAGGCTGAATCTGCAGCTGCACTACGATCCGGGTCAGGGAGCAAAGTGTCGTCTCGCAAATCAGAGACTGGAAACGCTGCATCCAGTGGCAGGGCAATATTGACTGCCAAGAGTCTTGCTGAGCACGACAAGTTGGCCGGACCTGGTCGAAAATTCGTATTACCACCGCGTGAGCACTTCAGAACGATGAGTGATGTCGGTGGAGTGAACGGACAACGCGACCCCGGCAAGCCAAGGAGTTTGCAAGGTACGTTTCGTACTGTGAATGCGCCCACACAACCTGAGGCTGTATTAGGTGTGGCGGAAGACAGCCCAGCTCAGTCAAGTACATGTAGTGTCAATGCGTTTGGCGTGCCTGCCCTGGGGCCAGTGGCGCAAGCATTCATGCGCGCGCCCGCTCAAAAGTCTGTGACCAGTACAGTGCTGTCAGTAGTGCCAGCCAAGAAGTCAATGGCCAGTGGTGCGCCTGTGGCTGTAGGACGTACTACAGTGTCCATACAGGCAGCTAGTAATGCAGTGCCTGTACAGCCAGCAATACGCAGTGCAGCAGTACAATCAAGACTGCCTGGCAGTAACAAGAAGGCAGTATCAATGCTGAATGCAACACCACCATGGCATACACCACAGAAGCATACAGCAGTGGCCAAACAGCAGCAACCAACACCAGTGGCAGTGCAAGAACACTCCAAGCAGGTGCTAAACCCGCAAGCAGAGTCCTTCATGCCCTATCCACCTCAACTGCAGACACTACACCCTGCTAGTTTCAGCTTTCACGTGAAGCCACTGGAGCTACCAAAGTTCTCTGGCAAGACTAGTGACTACGACCGGTGGAAGCAGAACTTTCGCCGCGTTGTTGACGAAGATCCACTAACGACTGAAGCGTACAAACTTGCACAACTGCGTGAGTGTCTCATGCATGGCACGGCCAGCGACCTTGTTGATGGCGTGCTTGACGGTCCAGGAGCCTACCACACCATCCTTAGGGAGCTAGATGCATGGTATGGCGGCGACAATCGCACTGTTGAGCGCCAAGAGAAGGAGATTTTGCAGTGGCCGAAGCTAAAAGAGTCAGACGACAACTTTGCCAAGTTTGTCCTCAGACTCCGGACGATGCTCATGAATATGGAGATGTGTGCAGTAACACCGGGCCGTGAGTTGTATCTATCGGTTACGCAGAAGTTGCCGAAATCGCTGTTGCTTAGGTACATGGAGAAGTATGACGATGCTGACTGTGATATTTACCAGCTAACACAGTGGCTCCTCAGACGCGTCAACACACTACGCCGTGCCGATGAACGACTCCGGTCGACAGAAGTCACTGCCTCAGCACCAGCACCAGCAAGATCATGGTCGAAGCAGAGTGCTACAAAGTCTGAACGAACATTTGTGGCAACTAGCAAGGATGCAGGTGCCGACAGAAGCTGCCCCTCGTGTGGCAAGGCGCATCAGCTCCACCGCTGCCCCGATTTCATTAAGATGGAGGTCAGGGACCGATGGAAAGTCATCAAGTCCAAGCCAGATGTCTGCGCCCTATGCTTCGGTCTCAATCATCGCGCAAAGACTTGTACCAGGCAACCCTGTTCAAAGTGCAGCCGCACGCATCATGACATGCTACACTACAACATCCGACGCTCGGATTCCGCTGCAGACCCATCAAATGCCGCAATCAAGGCCAACGCAGCTTCGGCCAGCAGTGGCGGTCCTGCCAAGATTGCTACAACACATTGCGCAAGTCATCAGCCAGAGATTGACAGTGGCGAGTCATTCATGGTTGTGCCTGTTGTATTCCGACACAATGGTGTGAGCCTCCAAGGTAATGCACTCCTGGACCCAGCATCGTCCACGAGTTATGTCCAGCAGTCCGTGGCAACAGCCCTCAATGTGCGTGGACCCAAGCGGCAGCTCGTCACTTCCGGAGTAGGCGGCAAGCAGACCGCAGCAAGACGTGAGCATGTACAGATCCAAGTGGCGGCTCTGGGCGACAAGACCATGAACAAGCTTGAAGCTTGGGTTCTGCCCACCGTCACCGTGCCATTACCGGCAGTGAACTGGAATCAGCACAAGAGCAGCTGGCCGCATCTCAGTGATATTGACTTCCCATCCATCAAGGGCAGTCAGATCGACGCGCTTATCGGCCTGAATGCCATCGAGCTTCATGCTACTCTAGAAGAACGGCGAGCAGAAACAGCAAGAGCGCCCATTGCTCGACGAACTCCTCTCGGGTGGGTGTGCATTGGTACAGGAGTCGACACCACTCGTGCAATCACAGCTACTACACCAGCTACTGACACAGTGCTAACTGATGGGCTGACCGAGCTAGTAGAGAAGTTCTGGCGAGATGAGTCGGCGGGCACAGATAACCCACTAGAGGAGACGCCTTCACCCGATGACAGAAGAGCCGAGGAGCTCACGAGCCAATCAATCAGCTGCAACGGCAACCGGGTAACTGTCCGAATCCCATGGGTCAATGACAGCGGTAAGCCACGTGTCAGGTCCAACAGAGCTCAGGCTGAGCAGCGGCTCCGCAGTCTACAACGCTCGCTACAGTCAAGGCCAGCCGTGAAGCAGCAGTACTCTGACGTTATGCAGAAACACATTGCCACGGGTTACGTGAGACGCGTGGACCCGGATGAGATAGCCAAAGACGGCAACGACCAGTGGTACCTACCCCATTTCCCGGTAGTACGCTCAGATAAATCCACGTCAAAAGTGAGAATAGTATTTGACGGTGCAGCCCGCTGGGATGGACACTCCATCAACGATGAGATGTTTACAGGTCCTGCACTTCAAAACGACATGACCAGTGTGTTGATCCGATTCTCACTGGAACCAGTTGCGCTTGTTGGTGATGTGTCGGAGATGTTCCTCCAAGTCAAACTGGCGGAACGTGACCAGCGCTATCATCGCTTTCTGTGGTATGATGACAATGGCCAAGTGCAGGTGTATCAGTTCACCCGTGTGCTCTTCGGCGCTAAGGCGTCACCGTATCTGGCAGGACGAGCGGTGAAAGAGGTCATCAAGCACCACGGTGATGAGTACGACTCTGACGTCGTGCAGTGCCTAAGCAAAGACCTCTACGTTGACGACATGCTGTCATCACTACCATCCACACAGCGTGCCATCCAGGCCAGAGAGCAAACGCAGCAGCTACTTGCCAAGGGCGGTTTTCACATGCGGAAATGGCTGTCGAACAAAGCTGAAGTGATGAACACCATACCAGAGGAAGATAGGTCACCTGATGTCGTCCGAGATGTGGACAGTGACACCAGCCTCCCAACTGTCAAGACTCTCGGCGTCAGTTGGAACGCCGAGAAGGATGCCTTCACCTTCCAGCATCAAATGAAGGACATCACGACATTCACCCGACGCTCTGTGTTGCGCGGCCTGGCCTCCATATTCGATCCGCGTGGCCTGATCTCGCCATACGTCATCACGGCTAAGGTACTCCTGCAGGATGCCTGGTTGCTGGGACAGGGATGGGACGACCTGCTGCCAAAGGAACAAGTCGTCAAGTGGCGGGGTTGGTTCCAAGGCCTCCCAGACCTGAGTAACCTGGAGATCAGCCGCTGTTTCAAGGATCCACAACAGCCATCCGAAGACGCCAGTCTTTCCGTGCACTGCTTCTCCGACGCCTCAGATCGGGCGATAGCAGCCGCTGTGTATGTCAGAGCCAGCTACCCAGACGGTACCACCCGAATAACGCTAGCGATGTCGAAAGCGAAGCCGGCACCAGTGAGGCGACAGACGATCCCGCAGCTTGAACTGAGAGCAGCTGTGCTTGGCGTTCGCGTTAGTCATCTCGTCGCTGAATCCATCGGTATCCCAGTGTCAGCTCACACATTTTGGACGGACTCGATGAACGTCTTGGGCTGGGTCCAAAGCCACAGCCGGCGCTACAAAGTGGACATTGGCAACCGAATCTCTGAGCTCCAGACCTCAACGAGAGCACACCAGTGGCGACATGTTCCCGGAAAGAACAACCCTGCAGACAAAGGTACTCGTGGTTTGTCTGCTGCATTACTGTGCCGTGACGCAGTGTGGTGGTCCGGTCCACAGTTTCTTCGCCAGCAGCCAGATGAGTGGCCTCAGATGAAGGAAGTCAGCACATCCTCGCTGCCTGGTCAGCTCAAGACGGCGCTAGTTGCAGTCGTCCCTCCACCCTCCGAGATCCTGGGTCGCTTTAGCACATGGTCGCGACTGGTACGCGTGACAGCATGGTGCAAGCGATTTGTGGCAAACTGTCGGCAGGCAGTCAGTGACAGCAAGTCCACGAAGGGGGATGCCGCATCGGACAGCCAGTCCAGCACGCCAGTGAGAGTGCCAGTACAGTTTGGCGGCACCCGCTCCATCAGTGTTCCAGTTCTCAGCACTGACGAAGTATCAGTAGCAGAGCGGCACTGGATTGCAACTGCCCAGAAGGATTGCCATGGTACAGCATACCATCGTCTACAGTCTAGGCAACCGATGTTGAAATCGGACCCTCTGGCACCTCTCTGTCCCCAGTTCGATAGTGCAACAGAGTCACCCCTGATGACGGTAGGAGGTCGATTGCAAGCTACAAAGAACATGCCAAGTGGCGTACGCCACCCAGTCATCCTACCAGCAAAGCACCGAGTAACCCAGCTGATAATCGAACAGGAAGATCATCGGTGCTTCCATGCAGTTGGGCCACAGCATCTTCTGGCCAATCTGCGACAACGCTACTGGATTGTTCACGGAACATCAACAGTCAAGGCCGTTCGAAGCAACTGCGTCACTTGCCGTAAGAACCGTGCGGAGCCAGCGTCCCAGATGATGGGCCAGATTCCAGACTTCCGAGTTGCAGGCTCGTTGAAACCGTTCAGCCGTACAGGAGTTGATTACGCGGGTCCCTTCCTGACCAAGCAGGGCCGAGGTAAGACGCAGGCTAAGCGGTACCTGTGCCTGTTCACTTGCCTTGAGACTCGTGCCTGTCACCTAGAGGTATCATATGGCCTCTCCACTGAGTCATTCCTGTTAGCATTTGAGAGATTCACAAAGCGCCGTGGTGTCCCGCTTGAAATGGTCAGCGACAACGGGACCAACTTCACTGCCGCGGAGCGAGAACTCCGTGAGGCCGTCCGGGCCATGGACAAGGAGAAGATCGAGAAGCGACTGGTCAGTGATGGCGTGCGATGGCGCTTCAACCCACCTAGAGCACCACATTTCGGCGGCGTATTCGAATCCCTCATCAAGACGGCTAAGCGCGGACTCAAAGCAGTACTTGGGAAAGCGGACGTCACAGATGAAGAGTTAGTGACTGCCATGTGCCAGGTTGAGGACATGATGAACTCGCGCCCGCTGACAGTCGTAAGTGCCGATGCAGCTGATTTGCAGCCTCTAACACCAGCACATTTCCTCGTCGGACGACTCGACCCACCAATGGCTCTGGAAGTGAAAGCAGACGAGCACCCCAGCAGAGACCCACGCAAACGTTGGTTGTATGTTCAGCGGCTTGTAGCAGACGTGTGGAACAGGTGGCGAGATGAGTATGTTCCCTTGTTGAATGTCCGTCGTAAGTGGCAACGTCAAGGTCGCAATGTAGCCGTAGGTGACATCATGCTGTGTCTTACATCAAACACTCCCCGTGGAACATGGCCCATGGGTAGAGTCACAGCAGTGCATCCTGGTGCAGACAAGCTCGTCCGAGTAGTGGATATTAAGATCGGCGACAAGATCTACCGACGGTCTATCCACCATCTAGTACCTATTCTGGACACCGAGTAGTTTGTGCCTTGTGTATCTGAAGTGCTACAGGCAGCCCTGTGACAGTACTCTCTCTCTCTCTCTCTCTCTCTCTCTCTCTCTCTCTCTCTCTCTCTCTCTCTCTCTCTCTCTCTCTCTCTCAACCTATGAAGTTTTTCTTTCATCATACAGTACCGTAGTAGTACTCACTCGTCACAGTTTGTTTGCTGACCCTGTGCTCGTGAGTGAAGGGGGATATGTTCTGGAATATTCCCAGCTTGTGGTGAATCTTGCATGACCTTTCATTGTACTCAGGTTTCATTTCTTTTATTCTAGTGCATGCTGCTGGCGCCTGATGTATTGACCGCAGGCCAGTCTCAACCTTTGCATTGTCTGAGATTCAAGTAGCGTATCGTTTGATGCATGTGCTGTCTCCATGCTATCTAGTCGTAATATATTCACTCGTCTTTGCATTTGTGCACAGTCCTGTGGATACTCGCGGGCTGCGATTGCGCTCTCGCTTTCGTCATTCTAGAATGTATACTTCCATGCCTTTGAAGTTTTTTAGTTGTCAGTTTTGAACTGTAGGAAGCAGTTTACAGTTTGTGTTCTTGCAGTTTTATCTCAGAGGAGAAAGTTCTTGGTCTCATACTGTTACGAGTTGCTGTTGTATCTGGTTGAACGCATGCCGGGGCAACAGAGGGCAGCATGAGTAGCCACATCACATGGTGAAAAGATCAGTATGCTCGAAACACTTCCTTTTATTAACCCTTTATGGACGGATTACTAGCACAGTACGCACCAGAATTACAAAATGTCAGTACAATTTTCAACTTTACCATGTCATAACTTTGGTGTCCTTCACTTGATTTTCATAATCAAGGGCTCATTGGAAAGCTCTTGGCGAGAGCTACGTCAGGGTACCAATCTCCATTATCCGGCCACCACAAATCAGGCGCGGTAACACAGCAAAGTCGTCTCCAAGCCTGATATGCAAGCAAATTCGTCCCATCAACGCCATTCCACTGCCCTTCATCGCAGAACGCTCAAATCTGTTTGAGACGATTCAAACTTCAGCCGGCTACGTCATTATCATGTGCTCAGTCGCTCAAAGAGCACACGAAAAGGGATTTTCCCCCAAAAAGGCGAAATGATCGATCAAAAATTTGAATTTGCCGAGGTAAGAATACGGCGTGCGATATCTCTGGCGTCCGACATTGTAACTCTTCGGCGATTGTTGCATTGGACAGCTTGGAGTTCCCGCTACCACGAAGACCCTTCGATTGTGAAATTTGCTCAAGAAACGATGGAGTTACGAAGTTTCGATCTTATTAGATCGAAACTCGTACAGTCCGTCCACAAAGGGTTAAAATTGCAAAAAATGTATTCACTGGTGTGTGCACTACTCACCTGCTGGTTTATATCTAACAAAATGCTCTCCTTGGTCTTGGCTGAGCTGTACATGCACACGGGCAAGTACACATATACATAGATTTGTGTGATGTGCGTATGTCACAGTATATATGCGTGTGTATGTGTGTGTGTGTGTGTGTGTGTGTGTGTGTGTGTGTGTGTGTGTGTGTGTGCGTGTGTGCCAGCTAGTTTGGTTGGTGGGTACACTTATGCCAGATAGTGTTGGGTCTGTTGCCAACACTGAACAGGCTCGGCTGCTTGAAGGCGTATTGGTTTACCTGCCACCTTTGTTCGTTTCAGGGTTCATATTTACTATTTGAAGTATACATACCTGTTAACCATGGACTGCTTCTGGCTAGATTAACTCTCGTGTGATCAATGGTGCTAGTGAAGCTTATATCAGATCCACTCTGATTTAGTCACCCACACTACATTATTATAGTAGCAAGTATTACCTTCACTGGGGGCAGGGGTAACTGCACTTGGATCCCAGGACGGATACCCTAATGCCGTCAATCCTTTTTCTGCACCTTGTCCCCACCCACTTACTGCGGTGTGGTGAGACCATAAGTGGGATCATTTCCAAGTCCACCCACAGTTTGGGGATTTTAGGGGTGTCGGCCGTTGGGCAGTTCAATAGCCAATTGAGTTATCTTTCCAAGAATCCTTTTGTATCTCTCTCCCCTCTCCCGGGGAGACCCACGTGACCAGTTTGGCAGTGAGCAAGTAGAAGTATGTGTATGTATGTGTGCGTGTGTATGTGTATGTGTGTATGTGTGTGTATGTGTGTATGTATGAGAGAGAAGGGGGGGGGGGGGTATGCAATGGGTGAAGTACATGTACAGAGCTGCTGAATGCATTGATCTCATGAATAAGCTAGCATCCAGCATCCTTGCAGAGCATAGTGTTTGCAGATCTGAGGCTGCATCACGCTCGGCGCAACACTTGCTCAGTCGCTCAGATTTCATTGAATAGCACTGCGCGTGATATCCCCAGTACAGCGTTACACACACACACTGACGTGCAATACATGACCAGGGGCGTTGGAAGGTATTTTAGTGTGGTACGGTCAGCCATCTCAAGTACAGTTTACTCGTGGGGAAGGGGTGGCCGAGCCGAATTTTTTGGGAATTTAGAGCCCAAATCAGTGCATTTTATTGATTCACGGGGCACTTGGGGCAAACAGCGGTACGGTCAATACCTTTGTGACCGTACCGTGTGCGACGCCCCTGATGACTGAATATAGTCCACACTGGATATTTGTTACAACCCCATTTCATGACTTCAGTTCATCTAGCGTGCTCCCAAATGACTGTCGCAGTACATGTACCGTATTTTACCGGTTGTAAGTCGACCCCGGTTATAGGTCGACCCCCGTATACTGAGGTCTCAATTCTACGTTTTAAAGTTTTCACCCAAAGAAGCACTACTAACCACTCCCTGCTACTTACACATCAACAAATCATGTAAACATTCCTTATCGGAGGATATAACGTCCCAATCCTTGAAAAAGACCAATAAACTGGCAAAATGTGTACACATGGTGCACTCGTGCATGCAGTACAGGTCATTTTTTGTAAGATACTGATAGTTCCCGGTTATAAGTCGAATCCCGGTTGTAAGTCGACCCCCACACTTTCTCCTTCTATTTTAGTTGTAAAAGGTCGACTTACAACCGGAAAAATACGGTACCAAAGTGCGTAGAACTGAAGTTGTAAAAGGTCGACTTACAACCGGAAAAATACGGTACCAAAGTGCGTAGAACTGATTCCTACCACAATTGAACACACCGTTGACTTTGCCACCAAGAAATCACATACATGCACGCACGCACACACACACACACATAAATCCTTACAGGTGATTATTGAAGAAAGAGTTCAGCGAACATACTGGGACAGCTTCAGGGTATTCCGCCGGCCATTCAACTTCCAGCACAAACGACTTGGATATGTCTTCTGCATCATCGCTGTAAGACACCTGCGAAAGAAAGGAGCGAAAAGAAGACAAAGAAACTAAAATGTAAGTGTACGGTACTCGAACAGCTGCAGCTGCTTAGTTAATCAGAGTGGTGTTGATGAAAGTACACTAACAGTCAAATGTCACGAATCTGGTCACCAGCTGTCCAAGCATGTCGGATATCCAACAAGCCAGGGAGTGCTTAATTGATCACTCCCCGTTGTGAACCTCTCGGTACTGGTACCACAGTGATGGAAAGCCAGCGACAAGAAACCTGGTGGTGTTTACTGAATCTTGATCAGAAGCTTGTAACCTGCTGTTTGGTACGTGACACTGGCCTATCTCATCAACGTGAACGTGAAGACATGTACACCTACAGCATTACTATCCCCGAGAATCGGAACCTCCTTGTGTTCTTGAAACGTGGTTGGAGTGAGAGAGAGAGAGAGAGAGAGAGAGAGAGAGAGAGAGAGAGAGAGAGAAAGAGAGAGAGAGAGAGAGTGAGAGAGAGAGACACACACACACACACACACAGGGAATTCTCCTAAAATAATAATAACATTGCAATATACACAGAGATGGTGAAAACAGGTTAAGTTGGTTTACGTTGTTCAGGCTCGGAGCCAGCTCCTGGTGGGTGGTATGGCCCCAGGTCGGCTACAGGACCGACTATTTCCACAAGCCCAATTTCAAAATCCTGGGAGGATACATGTCTACCTGTGTGCATTATCTGTTTATTTCAACTGCACATTCCTCTGGTAACAGATATGGCAGCTAGTGGAGTAGACTTCACTGGACAAGAACAGTTGAGGAGGTAGAGACTCTAGGAAGGAGTGTATGAGGATAGCTTATTACTGGTACTTCCAGATAATCAAGTGCGCACTGAGCAGCCCATGAACACTGGAGTTGGTGAAAACTGGTACGGCCATGGCCGCACCAGCCGTACCAGTGGCGCCGGCCCTGTTGTTCGGTGCCTAACATCTCTATAGTGGTCTTGTCATCATTCTCTAGTAAATCCATACTCTTCGTGGCCGTGAACTTCAGCACGCGTCGTCTTGAACATGCTTACAATCGGCCCTATGATACTAGCCCAAAATAAACCCATGAACATTCCATACTGGAATTTTGCTCAGAGCTGGCTTGTGCATTTAGATGTGTTAGAACCAAGGGGAAAGCCTTTGAAGGACTGCACAATCCCAGTTATGTGACAAGCTCATGATAGTAATTGTTTCTGCTTTCATCCTGCGCAAAAATTACAAAAATAAAAATAAAATTGAACCCACCTTGTAAGTAAATTTGGTCGTTGACACTTCTTTGAAGCAAGGATCAGCTTCGTAAATAGAGCGAAGAACTTCTAGCTCCTCCTGAGTCGTAACAAGCAAACACAGTGTACCAGTCGCGCTTCGGTCAGCAGTCCACTCATACTGCAATAGAATTGTTGCAAATCTAACATGAATTTTTGCTCGATATGCCTACCTCTTGTTCAGCTTCCATTTTGGTATTTGCTCACTGGATTCAAAGGCACTGCACTGCTATACCTACGATAGACTGTTAGGAATAGCCGGAGCAGTCACGAACACGGAACTACTGGTTATATGTTTCACTGGATAATATACAATCATGTACTCAGAAAAGAATGCCAACAATTACACAAGATAGAAGAGTAACAATTCAAACAAATAATTTCCTACATAAATTTTCTGTTTTCGACATGTCGACATTCGGCCCGGGCCTTGCACGTGACGCCGCGGCCTGACGGTTTCGTACTGAGCTACAGTCCATTCAGAAAAAAATGAACTTCTAGCTTTTGGCCATAAATGGGTCAAACGTTGAGTTTTTTTAGAATTTTTTTCTGCAATCCCATAATTATGGAATCCTCTTCCATTATGTAACTGAAGTTTTTTTGTCCAAAAAGCAAGCCATAGCAAGAATAGGATTTCGGCCAGGTTTTGCCCCAAAAGCACTGAGTTGGGAAAACCCATCAAAATCCAGGCCGTTTGACCCCGCCTGCAACAGTGCATTCTGCGGTTCGAACCCCAGTTCAGGCACCCTTTTTGGACCCTTTTTCAAATTTCAAAGTTCGCAGCACTGCACTGTGTACGATGAAATCACGAAAAATCGCCAAATACGGGAGCTCGCCAGAGCCAGGACCCATCTTTTTATGAATGGACTGTAGTCATTCTACTTTCTAGCGAGGGTGTCATTGATTCATTTTCACTCACGATCACAGCGCAAGCGCTAGCGGCTAACAATGGAAATCGGTAGTCGCCACATGCACAATACATGCCCAGCGCGAGCGAGACATAGCAAGTAGCGCAGTCTATCGCCTGTGCAGGCAGCACAAACAATGCAAGACCTAGGCTAGGGGAGTCTCTGTCCGAGTCAGGAGTGCATCGCACGTGGATGCTGGCACCAGACATTTCCATCACATAGCAGATCCTGCAGATGACACTGGCTGTTGTTGATATGTTGCTGTTTTGGAAATCTTTCACCATCACTTACTAGCACTGATAGAAGGTGTTGCTGTAGATCATGGTAATAACATACTGAGACGGTGAGAGTAGCCGGGGATCGAAGAAGTCGCTTTGCGATCGTGCGATTCTGGCTTAGTGCGCTGTGTGAATGGACGAACTGACATTGCAGTTTGGATTTACAGTAGATTTTTGAAGGTCGCGGCATCAGTCATTGGGATTTTGGATGGAATAGAACTAAAATAATTACTTAGAAGTTAGTTGCTAGTTACTGATGTAGTTGGCTGAAACTGCGTTGAAGTCTGCAGTTTGTTTGTAGCTGATTGACCAGACAGTGGCAGTAGGAACTACACTGCACGGTACGCGGTTCACATCGCGATGGTGCAGGAGTTTTCTGCGTTTCGGGATGTTCCCTTTCCCACGCAATACGGCCCGAACCGCAGCGCGGTGACGGTGGATGTGCTCGAAGCAGGCCTTGTAGCAGCCGTGCTCATTCTCGTGTTCAGCTTACTGCTGGTACTGCCAGGAGTGAAGGGTTTACGTCAGGTGAGCTCATGTCAAGCAAACGGAGTCAAGGGTATCTTTCAAGCATATTAATGATATGCTTGAAATATTCCCAACCAATACTATCATAATATGATAGTATTGGTTGGGAACTATCCTATGTGATGGTTGTGTTCAGGAATCCGAAAAAAAAGCATACTGTCTGACTGTCAGTTATGGATAGTTCTGGATTCCACAAATCGGCACACACTGCCATCATGTTGCAGCATCTTAGTATGATCAGACGCCATTGCATGAACAAAACCTTGCGGTCGTAACCAACGCCGCGGGCCCCCATAAACGGTTTACATAGCCAATGTTCCCCATGACTTTAAAAATAGTCTTTGCCAAAGACAATATTCGAGTTGTGTGTGCGTGCGTGTGTGTGTGTGTGTGTGTGTGTGTGTGTATGTGTGTGTGTCAGTTATCTGGCGCAAGTCTTGATCTGTCTCATTCAGATCTTGTTCGCTATCGTTGCTATAAGAGAAAATCTGTGGGTGCACATCTAGTGCATTTGCAGATTTGCCGTGCTTCTCTTGCGACGGGCGTATGACGTGTGTGTGCGTGTATGCGTGTGGGTGCATTCAAATCAGTGGGTGTAGAGCCAGTACACGTGCGGGTTTGCCTGCTTCTCTTCCAACGGGTATATACTATTATAATTATGATGCATGCTATACACGGTGTGTGTACAGCACATGCATAGACTGATAGACTGATAGACACCAATGGTAACTTATTTCTTGAAAGTGAAACCCCGTCTACACTATAGTATTGATCCTTGGTGGTGCTTGATCCTTGCCACATTCTTCTGACGCTTCACTCCATTACAAACCCTGTGCTCATGCGACTGCAAGCGGCATACTAGCCGAGCATGTAGCAGCAACACTGCTGGTAGAAACCTGTACGATTCGCTGCACAGCACACTGGCAATTTCAAGTAATTGCTACTGTAATGTATCACAGCCTGCTGATGATAGCCTAGCCACCCACTGTGCACCATTCTAACATGCAAGTACATTTTGTGCGGAGTAATACTTTCTGGTCGACGCACTTGCGTAACTGGTATGATTGAACTCGCATGAACAATTTTCGGATGAACCGTTGAATTTTAAATTTGCTGACCTGACTGGTCGTTGCCTATGTTTCCTGTCCTCGCAGGGCATTTCACTGACGATACGAATAGGATTCGCCCTGTTTGTCGCCTCGGTCATTCTGGGTGAGTGTGCACTTCTTATGTGGTGAGATCGCACATGACAGCCGGGGCGTCGGAACCGGTGCGGCAGGTACGGCCAAAGCCGCACCAAAAATTTCATCTTGGGATTTTTAAAGCAATGGAGTATTGACTCTTGGGGCCCAATTTCCCTAAAATTTTCCGGGGGGGGGGGGGGGGGAGAGGACCCCGGACCTCGACCCATTTATGGCCGCACCAATGTCGGATACCTTCCGACGCCCCTGCATGAGTAACATGGCATTGGCTGCATGGCGAGTGTTGCCAGCAGAGACTTTCAAAGCGATCATATGGTAAGTGTGATACTGCTTACTAGCAAAAGCATGCATAACCCTGGGGTTCAGTACTCTTGCCACTGGCCACGATTTATTCACATTCACATTCATTGGAAATGACTGTACAAGTACTATCCATGACTGGCTCATCATCATGAACTAGGGTTCTGCTATCTATGAATGGCATCATAGCCGAGAAAAAGTCAGTTGCTGTCCACAGGTAGGAGTGAGCGAAATAATTCCCAGTGTTATAACTAGTTCTGACTGATCCACCCCCCCCCCCCCCCCCCCCCCCCCCTGCTGCTCTGGACCTGAAGGAAGTCTTGAAATGAACAGGCATTGTGTGATTTGTCAGTGGCTTTCAAAGGTTCCATTCATACCTGCTACCTGTGGCTGTAATGGCTGCATGCATTGATTGATACCATCATGACTTCAAGTGATGATGGAGATGTAGATGCATGTCACTGGCCCAGCATAATCCTGACATAGTTCCTAAAATAATTTCATCATTTACACAGGCCTGGCCTGCAACACTGCCTGTAGATATCTAAATCAGCCTCCTGTATGCATCTGTGACCTAGTGCATGTGGCCCTGTCTGCAGCCAGGTGTCCTGGTTGGGGGAAGGGACCAACATGGTGACATTGGTGTACACTCCAGGAGAGTTTCCAAGCATGTGCACTTGAACCGATATGAAAACAGAGCTACATGTTCAAGTAGCTGTCAGAGTCCACTTAGCCCTTCCCTTCTGTGGACATGTCACCACTCCACTCCTGAATGAAGGATGCATGTCATTGCCAATTTCTTAGTGTGGCATGGTACAGACTGCAGCCGGAGAGCAAGGGTTGCTCAATAGTCACTCCTTGGACCAAGTTGGTCCCTGGCGAGAATCACACCAAATACAGTACTGTATAAGCAGACATATTCGTCTGGAATTTAATTTCGTCTTTTTCGTCCAAGGAGCTTTTGGACGAAATTAAATGCTGGACGAATGTCGATTTGTCCAGCTTTTCAATACACTCGTATGATCCATGGACGAAATTTACAACCGGACGAACTCTCTTTCTTTGGAGTTGGACGAAATTATTGACCGACGAAATGTTCTGCCTGTACAGTATTCAACGCTCTGCGTGTGTGTGTGGGGGGGGGGAGGGTTGCCATGTGCATGACTGTGCTCCTAACTGAAGCAGACATACCCCACCCATCCCCTCTCTCCTCTCTTTCTATCATTCTCTAGTATGTGTTGTGCGGGCTGCAGGTGTTTTGCTGACATGCTATACCGAATACGTACATGTACATGTACGCCTTGTCCCGGCTTTTGTTGATGTTATTGTTGTTGTTGCTGCTACCCTTGTGCCCTCGTGTACAGTATGCAACTTCAGCTATGAGTGGCAGGTGGGTCACGTGAAGGGCGACTTGCAGTACAAGCAGTTCACATCGCAGCATGTGCACGCCGAGCTGGGCATCCGACTGGGCTTGCGCGGCATCAACATCACTTTGAAAGGTACTAGGGGTCAAACGGGTGTACCTTTAACTAACGAACGGGTAATCGGGCAGGTTATCGGGTACCCTTTAGCAGCCATGTTTATGTTTTTGCGCAATTTTCACAAAAATCAAGATTTTAATTCATCTGTTCTCGGGTTGCATTTTGATATGACATTGTGATTCGCAAATCGATTGGTGTCTGATAGTCGCAGGAGTAGATCTACTACAGTGTAGGTGCGAAAATGCAACAACAATGCAGACATCCAGCATGGAGTTGTAAATCATTGACTCCCGCCTGGAATACACGATTCCAGCAGTGTTGCTCCGTACTGACAGGTTCATCAAAATCCAAACGGGTACCCTTTTTCTAACGGTACCTGAGATTAACGGTCGGGTACCCGGGTACCCGGTACACCCCTTTGACCCCTAAAAGGTACAGACGTTGGTGTATCCACGGAGTACACAGTGCATCCACCGAGTGACCGATACATTGCCTCTATGGAGTGACTGCTACTATTCATGTCATGCATGCACCAAAAAAACACGATTCGCGTGAGACCCGTCCTCCAGCCGAGTTCCCCGCGTCATAGGAACGCACCTCCCTCATGGATCGCTGCACCAAGCCAGTATGAAAAAAGCAGCGTCTGATAGCTCACTCCAACCCCCCCCCCCCCCCCCCCCCCCAAAGAGGATGTAAGCAGACCCCACGGCTGTCAAGAAGCGGCAACTTAGAAAGATGGCGTCGGTTCGAGATGGCATGGTAACCGCGCACGTGCCGTGGTCCGTGACTTGCGCATGTATGCACGCAAATGCAAGTCACAAACTCACAAAGATCGTCTTTGCATTTGGAGAAAAATATCTTCGACTCTCTTTGGAGGTTGGCGAGGTTTGCCTAATCTTTACTTGATTGCGATGCCGGTATGTCCTCTCAATAATTAGAACAAAGAGAGCTGATGATCGCTTCATTGCTGAGCAGAAGTAACAATCAACTCTCCTCATGTCCTCAGTGCCAAAGGCAGACAACTGCAATTCCACAACGCTCATTTCACGATGATGGAAACAATAATCGTGTACTAGTACACACTTGGACCATTTGGTCATCCCTATTCTAGCCGCTAGTCCGTCCAGCAAGCAGATATTGACTATTACGATAAGTACAACTGCGTGAACGAGGGCTCACCCAGCAAATTCAATTCAAGACGTGACTCCAGTCAAGAATTAGGGTCTTTACTCGAGAACTTCACAAATACAGGTCAAGGCACCCCACAAAACTGATAGATGGCACGAACGAAAGACAAATAGGCTAGACAAAGTGTCCCAAGTGATTGAAAACAGCAGATCTACCAAATAAGACAGCTACATGTGCCTAAACAACGATTCCCATACAGTAGAGAGTAGTATCAGGCAGAATGAAAGCCTTGGAAGTGCACAAATACAGCCACGACCGCCACAAAAATTGGACGACCGCCACAAAAAAATTCTCATTGCTCTACCTCCTTGAAGGGTGAAAGTTACCAGTTATCCTATAGCGATGTCAGTTTATGCCTGTTGGAACCCCCCACAGCCCGCACGAAATACCTTTCAAATAATTCCAGGATGCAATTGCAGCTCCAGACAGGAGGAAGAAGAACACCGTGAAAAATAACGGCAACGATGCCCAAACTCTCGGGAAACGGCTGAAGTCTTCCTGAAGATGTTAACATTGAATAGCCATCGATTACCAGCGTGGTTTGGTGACTTTAGAACTGTTTTGAGACTTAGAACGAAGCGATATCTCAAATTTGATGGAATTGTTACCTGTCAAATGCGTGGGCGAGCAGGCCAGCTGACTGGTTATGCATGAACATGCATGAGCATGCATTGATTTTTCATGGTTCACGTGCAGAAAACTAAGTTGCCGCGAGCCAAGTGCAGCTAACAGCCGTGACCCGTTCATCATGAAATTATTTTTTTGCTGGTCCGAAAAGGCCGGCTTCCCGTGCCCAAATAGGTATGAGCAGAAATATCCGAATATCCAAATATCCAACCCGCCTTTCTTTGGAACTGACCGAGTTTGTTCACAGGCGAGAATGTGTGCTTGTAGCCGCGAAGCACCAAATTCATTGCAAGTGCACCACACAGTGTTGGTCTGAAGCAACAATTCGCCAAATGCAGTCACACGGCTTAATACCAAAGGGCCCTTGCGCACGTGGCAGAGGTAGTTCTATATGACTGTACAGGTAACTTTTACGAGTGCATAGCAGCTGCAGGGTCTGGCTAGTCTGGCTGTGGACAGAACACACCTTTCAATGATTATAGTATGCATGTAACCAGTCTTCTGGACTCGCCTATTCACATTCAGTTGATTAGAACAGGTCTAAAGATGTGCTACGCACCCGGTACAGGTTGTCATGCCCCGAGCCCGACAGTACGGTCTGTTCGTGTTTTTGCAACTGTCACATGAGTGGAGGGCAGATAGTAAAATAACTACTCCCTGGTCACGGGAGAGTGTCAATACGGCACAGCATGTGTGTGTGTGTGTGTGTGTGTGTGTGTGTGTGTGTGTGTGTTGTAGGCTTTGTACTAAGTTTGTACTCGAAGTAGCCGAGTCAGCTGGGGAGTTGTGGACGCTGGTTGCTGGCAGGGTGTAGCGAGAGTGTGTCGGCCACACATCTACACTACCAGCTGGCATTTCCCCTGTTCATACGTTGTCTGTTCTCTTATATTCGCCACCCCAGGCGAGCCAGATCGGCAAGTCACCTTCAACAACGCAACAGAGACTATTGACTACAATGAGCACTTTACCTTTGGCTGGGATCAGAATCTCAATGGATTCGGTCCTAATGGTAAGGATAAGAACGAGCCGGTGGCAAGTGCCGTGCAATTGGTGGTAGTACAGCGTTCAGCATGCTCCTGATAACAAGCCTTGAACGATGCATGCCCATGCTGCACTGCAATAACAGAGACATCTATAAAAGCAGTACACGGAGCAGTAATAGGTTTACTTGCATTAACTTATAGTTGTAAGTACCGGCGGGCGGCGAAGAACTGGGGGGAGGGGGTCAGAGTCGTAGCCTAGGCCGTTCTTATTTTTCATGTACAAGTCCATGCACAGTAGAGTCGCAGGCGTATTTATCGTTATCCTGTGCATGGTGAGATCCTAGCCGGCTCGTTCTTCAGCGCCTGACTGTACTGTATTCATCGTGGACGCTTGTCTGCCTTGACACTTGTTCTGCCGACGCTTGGTTGCTTATGCTGCAGCTGCACAACTCAATCAGGAATTCCGACAGGCTCAGCGGCGGGGTGCGCCGCTGCCCATTCTCTCGGTGGTTGAGTACTTTGCACTGGACGGCGAGTCGATTCGCTGGGGCCGACTCTACCGGCAGGCTGGCTACTACACGCACGTACTGATGTGGTAAGTCATGGCATCATTGAACGTACAGTGCTCCAAGTCCCATGTAGCATTGCTGAATTGAAACAGGTTGGGCACCCTTCGCACACGTACCGAGTGTCACTGAAATGGCCGTACACTTGAACCTCTCTTATTATTATACGGACACCTTACTCAGCTGGACACCTTTCAGGCATGTACATGTACATCTACATGCATCTCCTGTCAAATCTTGAGATTTAGAACTTTTTCACACATAGCAGCAAGCAGAGCAGTTTGAGCACTCTCAGATGGTAGCATGATTGCAGCTTGAAATTATCGGCATATATTGCTCCTGGTTGCGTGATAATGAGAGTGCGTGTAGAATGTACAGATATTGTCGACTGCAGTCGACAGTGGCAGTGAAAGGGTTAACCATGACTTCTTGTTCTTGTGTTCTGTGACTTATACATGTACTGCTGCAGGCTTGCCCTGCCACTGTGGATACTGTGTTGCTTCCTGTCAACATATCTCAGCTTGCTCTACGGTGCAATCTGCCTGATGCTGACGGGAGCCTGCCTGCTGTGGGCGTGCGTCGTCTTCATTGGCGTTCACACGATCGAGTCGCGCCTGGTGATACCCATCGACGAGAACCAGCAGCTGACGCTGTCGTACGGCTGGGGGTTCATCCTCAGCTTGACAACCGGCTTACTGTGCATGATCGTGGGACTGGTACTGACGATCGTTGTGTGCTACCAGCCACTGTGGGCGGCGAGAGTCTTTGGCACAAGCTTGTTAGAGGTGGACGATGAAGGCGAAGAAGAGGACGCGCAGGATGACGACGAAACACATGACTATGAGCACATTCGACCGCGGCTGCTGACCTTCGTTGCCGGTGCACCAACGCGTCCCACCAAGCCGAGCAACGGCGAAGTCACCAGCCCGGGCGCCTTTTCGAGGTCGAGTTTCCGCAGCAGCTTCCGCCGGCGTCACCTCACGCGCCAGCCGTCGACGCTATCCGGCACGTCGGCAAACAGTCAGACTGCTGCACCGCGCGTACTGCCCCGGCAGTGGCGACGACCGCGGCCAACATCCAGCTTGTCAATGTCTGTTGTACAGTCAGCCTTCACTGGTGAGCTCAGACCGGTGTCTTCATCCAATCTCAGCCAGGCAAACATCAACAACGAAAACTCCGGAGCAGGTGTTACTGGTGCAGCAGCAGCAGCAGAAGGCACACCAGTTGCAGAGCCCGGCACCAGTGCTCAGTCACAGCCACAGCAGCAGCAGCAGACGACACAGCAGCTGCAGCAGCAGCAACAGCAGGCGACGATCATACTGTACAACGCGGTCGAGGTGCCACGCCGACCCAACACTGCATCGGGCATGCGCCCCACGCCGGCCAAGCGCACCGCCGTGCCACAGCCGCCGGCCAGAACCGTGTCACGTCTCAACACGGGCACCAGCCTCATGCACACGGAGGGTGTATCGTACACTACCGGTGACATTGGGGAATGCACACTGTAGTGTAGTGTGCAACACCATGCTAACACAGGCATGCAAGCAACACGCTAGCACAGTCCTACAGTACATGCACTTGTACATCAATACAGTGCATCAATATTGTTATGTATGAAGCTTGCTATTATGTGCATACACTTCAAAGCATTGCAACAATACTTTCAACCTGTCTGCCAGTGAATTCTATCCGTTTTACGTACCTCTCCTAATAGTAACAAGGATCGATATATCTGCGCTACATCAAGCTATTGACAAATTGCATTATCTGAAATTATCCCACCGCTATCATCCGACATCACTCCTACTAACGCACTGCACGTAGTGTGTCATTCAAGAGATTTTGAGACGCACCCATTGTGTACGAACACAAGATTTCCACTTGTTTGCTTGATTTTTTCCTAACTTATCACAAGCGTAGCACAACTATTGTTTGTATCTTCTTTTCTCGTCTAAGCGAGTCCTTTTTTTGCCAAAAAAAAGAGGAACCACACGTGTGATTGCGGCATGGCTGTTACTAGGGTTAGGCCTGGCTGAACTGCTGCATCGTGGATGGTGAAACTGAGGGGTTGAAAAATGAGTGTCGCGGAATTTTCTCTTGATGACCGCACGCTGTCCGTACGTCTGCACAAGCACAGCTGCTTTACAGCCAGTCCACGCAGAACGGATGCTCAAACAAGTGTTAAAGACTTTGACAATCAAGGTACGGAGATTGGTAATCAACTTTCAAACCAGCCGAAAGCATAATGAAACGTCTACTGAGTAATTAGATTGTATAATTAAATAATAAAGGAATGGCTATGGGTCCTAAAAAGAGAGAGTTCATGGTGCTAAGTTCGTCCAGCGGGTGAAAAACCATGCAAAACACTAAGAAACATATGGCTATCCATGCACACGGCGAACATATATGCAGGCAGGGGCAGGGGAAAAAATAATGTCACTACAGTCACCCAGTTTGTATGTGTGCTTCAAGTGTACCTAACCGTGTCTAAAAGTGTACTTGTGTGTGTGTGTGTGTGTGTGTGTGTGTGTGTGTGTGTGTGTGTGTGTGTGTGTGTGTGTGTGTGTGTGTATGTGTGTGTGTGTGTGTGTGTGTGTGTGTGTGTGTGTGTGTGTGTGTGTGTGTGTGTGTGTATGGTGTGTGCGTGTGTGTGTGTGTGTGTGTGTGTGTGTGTGTGTGTGTGTGTGTGTGTGTGTATGGTGTGTGCGTGTGTGTGTGTGTGTGTGTGTGTGTGTGTGTGTGTGTGTGTGTGTGTGTGTGTGTGTGTGTGCGTATGCGTGTGTGTTGTATGGCAATTTACATGTATACCAGTGGACCGGGACTAGATAAATTCGCAGATAGCACTATAACGTTAATTTCGTGGTGGTATGTCTCATCAGTGAGGATCACGCATGCACTCTACTAAAGCTCAAACTCGGTGGGATCAGATTCGACGTGAATCATATCATGGGATATTTACTGGATGATTCATAGCCGAACCGTCGAACACACACACACACACACACACACACACACACACACACACACACACACACACATGCTGATGTGTGTGCGGGTGTACACACACAGCAGCAGCTATCCAGGTATCTTATTGGAACTGTCAAACGGAACTTCAAGGCACACAAAATGTGTGATTCGGGCAGCATGTCCTTGGACCAACAATATGAGCCACACCTCGCAAGGATCTGCTTATCACCGCAAAGCACTATCAGTATACATCGCTAGTTTCAGCACCTGAGAACATCCCTGAACAACTTCCGAGCCCATGCAACAATGCACACTATATCACCGGAAGCCAACATCTCGCTGATGTCTTCATCGTAATTGATCGGGTGGCCGTTAGCCTGCACGAATGTTAAACTATCTATGCTGCGGTGCTTACCTCCAGCTCCGGCCACCGGCGCCTTGAATTGTATGTGGAGTTCGGCTTGAGGATTGTTTCCTGCCTGTGTAGCGGCGGGCTGGGCTTGTTGGCTCTCCTGGCCTTGCTGTACCGCAGCAGGTGTTACGCACATGGCCATATGCGTCTCGTCCGCACGAAGCACAATTACACCACTCAGCTCCTCGACAGATCGCCGCATCTCCTCAAGGCCAGCCTGCTCGTCTCGCCGTTCCTTGATGGAGCTGGCCAGTACTTTCTGTTGCCTCGTGTCCTCACCAACACGGCTCTCCAGACGATCGTTCTTCGTCAGCAGCTCCTCTTGCCAGGACTTCAAATCCTTGACGGCTGACTGACAGGCCTTGTGAGTGCGTTGCACCAGCGCAAGCCTCTTCTCTACATGCTCCAGCTGCTGGTGGACCGAAGATATCTTGTGCTCCTCATCACCGAGCTTGAACGTTGCACGGGATGCTTTCTCGTGCTGTAACTTCTCCAGAGCGCTTTTCTGGGCCTGAAGGTTCTCGATTCTCCCCGACATGTCCTCCATCTTATTCATCATTTCTGTGAACTTTGACTCCACTTGTGTGCATAAATTTAGAACCCCCTCCTGCAAATGAGAAGCATCCGCCTTGGTCATCATCAGTTGAGATTGCGCTGTACTCCTGTTCTCCTTGTTCGCCTCGTAAAGGTCAGAAACCGAACCCGGCGGCTCAGCCTGAACAGTCCCAGCAAGCTTGGCAGTGAGCATGATGTTCTTTTTTACTCCCTCCTGCAAGCCATCAGGACAGGGATCTGGTGCAGAATCGACCGAAACGTCAGTCACCTCCTTCTCCAGGCGCTGAGCGCCTTCTTGTACTCTCACAATGGCATCTTCGCAAATTTCGGATGCCATTGTAGCGTACGAGGTGCGCACCAGGCTTCTCCAGGCAGAAACAAGAGAAGCTCCTTCATAAACAACCAACAAACTACTTCAAAAATCTGAACATGTTCGACACCAAAAATGAGACTGCACGATTTTTCAGATTTGGCGTTCACTTCAAATTTTGGCGGGTGTAGAGTGTAGTAGGGACCGTACCGTGTAGCCATGCTTGCCGTCGACGTCATGGATAGATCGATCATTCATCATGATCACACGCACAGCTAGCTGGCTTGCAGACTCGACTCCCTGCTTGCATGACCATGACTGTATTATGATGTACTAAAACTGTTGTGTGTTCTGTTGAGTGTATGTAGATCTACATCATTCATGTATCAAGAGTCAAGACTCAAGAATACATAACCATGATAACTTCATAAGCTCCCTGGGGGCATACCGGTAGTTATACTCTTGTGCACATTACATGTGTAACAGTTACTGTTTGTTTAGGCAAGAGTGCACAACAGCAAAATTTACTAATACTAAGACTTCCAGATGCAAGAGTAGATCTACTGTAGTAGGTATAAGGTACTGATATCCTGGATAAGTAGTGTTCTTCACACGGACAGAATGGAGCAAGTTTTTCATTTCGCGCAAACGGCATCACCAGGCAACAGAAAGAAAACTTGGGGCAGATCAACACCACCGGCACATATACATAATCATGATTATAGTTCAAACTACACAGTATTGCCATTGTGCACTCTTGACCATCACATGCAACTAGCAAATACGGTAAAACACCGAGAGCAAAGACCAAGAAAACATGAATCAGCCACAGGACAGTGCATGTAGTCAGAAGATCCTATCAGGGAGCTATGGAAAAAAGGGTATTTCATGGCCCTTCGGTTTCCATAATAGACCGCAAGCACACTGAACACTCACACATGCGCACACACACACGCACGCACGCACGCGCGCGCACACACACACACACACACACACACACACACACACACACACACACACACTCTCTCTCTCTCTCTTTCTGACCAGGTTCAGCACACTAAAAAGAGAACTCTCCCGTAGGCAGATGCAAAATTGAAAAGTGATTTGGAGCATTTCCTGCACACAGATCATCATGTGGGGATAGCAGAAGGAAAAAAAAGGCCAATAAATTCTCATAACGGTCAAATACTGCCAGGAATTACAGCTCATTATGGTTGGAAGCAGACACTTGGCAGTAGTATAACACTGGTGGAACGACTTGACAAGACTATGACAGTAAAAAAAAAAGGTGAAACAAAAACCGGTAGCAGGGCAGCGCGTGTTCATCTGACAATGAATGGTATGTGAGTCTGAGTATTACATAAGCACACACCGGTGGAGCATGTGTCCAGGGTTAGGGTGGCAAGCACTAGCACAAGACACCGAGACAGTAAATATGGCGATACTCGGCAGAACTGCAGCACTATAGTAGAAGTTATTATAAACCTTTTTTGTGCGTCAGAAGTATAGTTCTAAAATGGAGAGGTAAAATTGAAATAAATATCCCGGCACCAGCAATTTTCTTTGAAATATTTCTTTTATAATTAAAACAATGTCGACCCATGTAGTGTGGTCGAAGGGTAAAGTCATAAGGAGGCGAATAGACCACAAACCCCTGCATAAAACTAATGTGGGTTTCTTGTCGAAAGGACAACGGCGGTGGAAACCATGGACAGACTGAAGGTTGACATGCATCTAGAGCTAGACTGGTCAATGCGAGCATGCCAAAGACAGCGTCACTGGGAAATGGACAGCACAAATGACAAAGCAGAGTGACCCAACACAGACACAGCAGTAGCCGGATGGGACTGAACAGCCACCTCTGCCGTCAACTGCATGTTGGAGCAGCAGCAGCAGTACAGGCAGGCGAGGGCTGGACACTGCTGCAGTGGCACCACTACTGATACACAGCCGACTGCAGGCCGGAGCAACGAGAGCAAAGGCAAGCACAGGATCACGTGACAGGCCGTGACGACAAGCTGAACTGTGCCCCTAGCTGCTCCAGTGGCAGCAATGACCAAAACGTTGACGGACGGCGAACGTCCTGAGGCGAAGACGCCGAGCTAATAAAGACGAAGACAAACAAGACGAAGATCAAGATGATGACAAAGAGAACTCGCAGAAGAAAGTGCGGAAGACTGCGCAGCCATGTAGACTTGACATCTGAAGCCTTCATTCGCTTATCAATACTCTCCATGACCTGAAAAAGAACAAAGCAACGAAAACAGTAGCACGTTCTCACCAACTTCTAGATACAGGTCGTCCCCCGTTAATACGAGTCCGGTTAGTACATAAACCCCGTTAGTACATAAGAAATCTCAAGTCCCGGACGAAACGTGGTCACTTCCATACAAATTTTGTCGGTTAGTACATACCGTAAAAGTCCGTAAATAAATACCTGCCCGAAAGAAATACCCCCTTCATTCTTTTGGCTCTGTCTGTTGAAGTCAAGTCAAGCCCGATAAACATACTGCCCGAAATAAGTACCGGTACGGTGCGCACATGCAGCACGTAGCATGTACATCAACATGAACATGACTTCTCCACTACACCCAAGTCAGGTCCGAAAGTTAGTTCGTGCCCGAAAGTCAGTACCCGCCCGAAAGTTAGTACGGGTGTGGTCACTAAATTCGAAAGTAAATACGTACTTATTTACGGACTTTCACGGTAATTCGTTAGTACATAAACCCCGTTAGTAGTACATAACATTTCTCCGTACCCGCATGCCACCTACCTCAATAGTACATAATTTGTTGGTCTTTTGGCCTTCCAGTGGAGGCACATCGTGTTCTAGTTTCTACTTGTGGACGCAATTAGCTCAGAAATCAGAGCGCACATCACAAACCGACAAAACTCTGTTTTTTTTGGGAGTGACTATACAGGCGCGGCTGGGCATGTATCATGCAAACTGTAGAATCTTTGCTAACTGTGACCGGTATAACATAATTTTTATGTATCGAGGGAATCAAGAATATCTCGCTACCTAGTCATGGTAGCAAGAAACACTCAGAAAAGTAGAAAAAAGGGAAAAATTCTGGTACACAAGCAAATTATGTACACTTTCGTTTAGTACAAAAACCCCGTTAATACATAACATTTGTCAAGTCCCAGAGGTTATGTATTAACGAGGGACGACGATAACGTACGTACACGGGCCGCAGAAGTCTGTACTTTACAGTCGAGGTACTGTATTCCCAAAGTCAAATGACTGTGATGTAGGGTCGTCAGAAAAGTACTTTATAGCCCGTAGTATATTTTATCCAGGGCACCAGTAAGCTATACTGTAAGCAAACAAATATTCGGCATCTAATTAATTTCAGCTATTTTCGGCCTGATCATAAATAATAAATAAAAATGTCACGGTTCGCGTGAGACTCGGCTGGAAGCCGAGTTTTCCGCATCCGCCGTGGGAACGCCACCACCCTCTAGGATCAAAGGCGCAGATGCAGCGCCTAAACTGTGGGAGGTGAGTAGATCAGACCCACCACCAAGTGGTCAAAGACCGAAATCCCATTAGCTGCATCCATGTTACCCTCGTGCCAGGCCACGAGTTCCCAATTAACTGTGGGTCGCAGCACGGCTGGAAAAATTCCTTCCGCTTCCAAGCAGGACTTGAACCTGGTACCCTCTGTTTCTCAATCATGGTCTTAGACCATCCCACTATGCCTGCCTGCCTCATATTTGGCAGAAAATTCATTGCAGCCGAAATTTGCTTTGCAAGGTTCAGTGTGACAGTGTATACAGGCAGCAGCAGTACAGGCCAAAAGTTTGTTGCAGCCAAAATGTGTTTTAGCCCTGGGAGGCCGAAATTTGAATGGGCCGAAAGTTTGCCGACTTACAGTACTGAGAAGTGCCACCGTTGGACATGGCTGTCCGTACTTCCCAACCAAATAGTTGTTTGCTGGACGATTAATTGTCCTGTTAGCCAAGCCATGCATGAACGGGCACATTACTACCAGCGGGCAACACGACGTGCCGTCAAACCAGAACATTTCCTAAGCATATTTTTAATCTTGCATAGTCCGTATGTCGGCATACCATGTGAAATAAGAATGCGTACAGAGTCGCCAGTGCCATGCGAACTGATGAGGCTTGTCCTCTCCACACAGACATTATGCACATATGAGTGCCAGCGGTTATGTGCCTTCATTAGATTTAGAGACTGATGGTAAGTGTTTGCTCCCCACACTGGAGCTCGCGCTTTTCCGCCGACTTGACACTTGACTGACTCTCGACTGCCATCCAGAGCACACGAGAAGACTCTCAAACCTTTGACTCGGCAAACCTCAGTCCGTCAACTGTCAAGTCAAGTTGGCGGAAAAGCGCGCGCTCCAGTGTGGGGAGCAAACACTTTGCTATCAAAGTATTGCCGAAGTTGCTACCACCATTTCATGATCTTCTGATGGCAAGACAACTACCGGTGTTAGACTATACACCAGGGTCGAGGGTGTTCATACTGTCAAATCCACATACCTCAGTGCAACGACGAATATCACTATCATCTATATCCTCCGAAGTGGTTGGGGTTGATGATGCGACCTACACACATACATGTACCAGCAACAATGGATAGGGATACAATAATCGAGCATTCAATGCACAAAAGCTCCTCTGAAGCCAATTAATCATCTCTAACACCACACAGAAGATGCTTGTCTGTATGCACCTGCGTGCATGTGTGCGTGCGTGTGTGTGTGTGTGCAGGTGCATGCACATGCATGTTCCTGCGTGTAGCATAAGCATGGACCCAGCCTGCTCGCCTGCCACCGTGAAACAACACAAACCGGCTTACAGGCATTCAGATACTCTAATTTCAGATTTTCGGTGCTCAATATTTTCGGTATGAGGGCAACAGGCCAGGTTAGGTGAACAGAAATTTTCGGTACAGAGAAGCAGTTCCCTATTGGATTATGTGTGTTAGTGTTTGTTCGGTGTATTGAAATTTTAGGTATGAAACAGCCGCACCGAAAGTACCGAATATAAAAGTACACCGAAAATTTGTGAAATTACAGTATTGCCAAGGCTGCTTACCGTTCGATGTGGGAAGACATCGCCAAACTTCTGATGACTAATGCCCGCCTCGTGGAACACGCTCGTGATCGACTTGAACTGCGATGATCGCGACGATGTCCGTGAGAGTCGTTCGATATTCTCCCAGGGGCCTTCACCTCGATGAGTGTCATCATCGCATTGTGAAGACCACTTGGAGAAGGAATTCCTGGGCATACTAGAGCTAGTCGGGGTCAGCACCATTTGGCCTGCACAATGCAATAACAAAACACAATCGTTGTAGGAAAGCGGCACGAAGCCCATGCTGAGCTTGCTGCAGTTACACGTATGCTGTTATGCTCCAAACACACAGACAGACAGACACACACACACAGACATCCCCCCCCCCCCCCACACACACACAGACACTACACAATGTATCCAACCAACACCACTGACCTGTCGAATCAGGGCGGATTAACGGGGGCGAACGGTCCGTGCTCGGCAGGAACACTTCAAGTCGAATGAGATTGATATACTGTACCAGTACCTGAACAATAGCACAGCAAGGTGGTACCCAAAGGTGTATTACAACCAAGACCGAGCAGCTCCAGTACTAAATCAGCCTTCGCAAATGAAAGACTGTCTAATTCTACACGAAACTTTGCTGCTTTTTTTGATGGGCTCACGTATGAGTGAAAGAGAGAGAGAGAGAGACAGAGAGAAAGAGAGAGAGAGAGAGAGAGAGAGAGAGAGAGAGAGAGAGTCCCAAGCTCCGGAGCTGGCTCAGCTGGTTACATGTACTTGATTCAGAAACTTAGATACTGTAGAACGGGTAATTTTAGCGACTATTAATTTTAGCGTTTTCCCATTGTCAACCGGTTAGCGATGTTTTATTTTAGCGATTTGCAGCGATTTTACTCACGGATCACCAGTGCACTACTAATGTCTCAACGGATTTGCGACTTGAAACTTTAGCGAAAATGAGTCGATCGCTAAATTCGCTAGGGTTGTTACGTCGCTAAAATTACCCGTTCTACAGTAATGAAATTTACACAATGAATTCGCGAAGCACCGGTTTTTAAGTACACAGGCCCTGAAACCAGGGAACAATATATGGTGGCCCTGAGACAGCGAGAGTGAATCTTGAGAAATCACTTTTGTTGATACATTCTCACAGCTTTGCTAGTTCGAAGGACAGGTGCAACATTAGCTACTGTGCTACAGTACAGAGTATGTAGCAGTACCCACAGGCACTATGTAGAGCGCTCACCTTTATCAGTGTCAAATACACAAAGTCTTGCTCACTTCTTCCAGCTAGGCGAGCTAGCTGAACAGCACACTTCAGCTGGGTAACCAACAGATCCGATGATTTCGGATCCACCGGCAGTGAGCGCTCCTCAGCTTCCGTGGACAGCGCCACAAACTGGCGAATGCACCACTCAGTCCGCGTCTCTGCATCCTCTTTAGCTCGTCGCATTGTCTCCGGACATCCTTCCGCCGACTCACACAGGTCATGAAGTATCTCCTGTGCAAACACAAGCGAACAATAAAATAAGATAACGAACTGTGCTGAAGAAGTTTGATAGAGTTATCAGAGCTTTTTTATTATTTACAACTATCCATTCATTGGGCACAAGCTCTTCCAGTTTGACAGAGTTATCAGAGCTCTTTTGGAAAACTATCCATTCATTGGGCACAAGTTCTTCCAGTCCTGATCATATCTCTATATTACAACTAATTAGCACCATACCTTCAGTAGCAACTGTGGCAGGCGTACATACAAGTACATCCTACATGAGGATGATGCAACATCACCCAGATACCCCCACCGCCACTGCCACCATCATCACAACGACAGCCATCACAAATGCCAGCAGCAGCAGCAGAACTAGCAGAAGTACCACCACGACCAGAACCAGCAGCAGTACCACCATCACCTCCAGAACCACCACCAGACGCAGCACCACCACCACCAGCAGCAGAGCCACTAACACCAGCACCAAAAGCACCACTAGCACACCATCGCCACACCCCATGCAGAAAGAAAAGCAAAGAGACTACAATACTACAAGCCTACACTGTACATGTACTCACGGAGATGTTGAAGTAGTGTTGCTCCACCGCACTCGGCTCAGCTCGCAGTAGGTTTGGCTCAGACGGAAGACCCTTGAGTAGTGCGGCAATAGCCTGATGGTCCGTCTCGGACAGGAGCATACCCGATGAGCCACCGGAGGGCGGTGTCTCCACAATCACAACTGAGCTCGGCGAAGTGCCTGTCGACCGTGTTGGCGTAGATTGCCTCGAGTCGCCGTCAGCAGCACTGCTTGGACTTCCACCAGCTGTGTCAACAGATGAGAGACTACTTGACATTGCTTGCTCGGTTTCATCTATGGTGATGATGCGTCCACACTCCCTACAGGTAAGAAGGTTGCGCTTTTGCAGGTCTTCAAGCTCCTCCGACGTTCTTTCCAGTTCCGTATCGACAGTAGCAAGGCGATTGCGAAGCTCAGTGACGTCCACGGCAAACGTGTCTCGCTCGCTACATACATCCTCCAAGGAAGACACCACCGACGTTACCCGCTCCTCGGCAGAGCTGAGCTGCTGCTCCAAGCGTTCCCTGGCTTCTTTCAAATCACTGACCTCACTTGCTAAGAGAGCATTGGACTTTTCCAACTTGGAAACCTTGTCCAATGCGGACTTCCTAGAAGATACCAAGCGAGCCAGCTTTGTCTCAAAGTTGCTAAAGCTGTTCATGTTCATGTCGACAGAGGACTCGATGATGACTTCGTCCAGTTGGCTATCAGAATCTGACAGGTCGGCGAGCTGCTTCAAAGCAAGCGACTTCTTGGCCTGGAAATGCTGCCTCACGTTGGACAGAACAGCGCGTAGCTCTTCGGTCGTGGAGCTGTTACGACCCAGGCTCTGTGTACTACTGTTGGCCGTCGCCGTACCGCCAGTAACAGTCAGTTGATCCGTATCAGAGCCAATGCGTGTTGATCGCCAGTCGCCGCCGCTACCGTTCACATTCGGCGTGGTGTCCGGATGCAGCTCGGCAGCGCTGCTGCTGGCGCTGGCCGATTCCGGGAAAGTCAGGCTCGACTTGAGGTTGCCACCGCTGCCACCACTGCTCTCCGTCTCGCTGGCCATGAGCTCGTCATGGAGTGTGTCAGCTCGCCGCATGGGCGTGCTGTGTGTCAGTGGACTGCCATAGGATGCGCTCAGCTGCACCTCCTGGTCACGCATGTCCACCAGAAGGGACTCCAGGTGACGTTTGTCCGACCGTAATGCGTGGTTGGCGCTCGACAGCTCCTTGACGTAGCTCTCTAGGTTAGACGAATGCTCCAGGCTTGCATGCAGCTGCTGTTGTAAAGGTAATGGGTTGGAGTTCAAGGCACCGACGGCGGACTTGTACTCGTCCTGAATTGAGTCAAGTTGAGAAACTAGCTCCAGCCGCTCATCCTCTGAATGTGTCAAACTCATTTCCAGTTGTGCTTTCTCCTTCTCCAGCTGACTAACACGGTCCGACGTGACTTGAAAATGCCGCTGGTCCTCAGCCAATGCCTCCAGTTCCCGATCCTCTTCGTACTTCCTCGACAGCATAGCGTCCTGTTTGGACACACGCTTACGGAGTCCCTCGACCTCGGTGATCAGCCCGGTGTTCTGTTCTTCGGCCGTGGCCAATGCTTGCTGGAAGGACTCATTCTCGGCACAAAGATGCTTGATCTGCTGCCTGGCCTCCTGTAAAGCTGTCATGGCGTCGGCCAAATCCCAGCTGCGGGACAGGTCACAGCTATTTCCCTCGAGCACGCTAGAGCCAATACTAAGATTGTCAGTGGCAATTCCTGCTGCCAGGCTAGCCACGGAGCCTTCATTCTGACTAAACTCGGATTCAACATAGGAGGAGGACTGGCCATCTGTGGCGTCCCCCTCACTTTCGCTCACAATGCTCCTCACAGCCTGTACCCACTGCGAGATTCCATGTTGATACGCATCAATATCCACTACAGGGTCCTCACCATTCGGATCAAGCAGGGCCTGTAGTTCACCAAAGTCCCAATCAGGCTTGGTTCGGCGTAGAAATTCCAAAATTTGAGAAACAGCCACCAGTCCAGTCTTCTGAGTGTCGCAGTGATAAAACACGCTGGCAAGAATTTCCTGCTCCGTGGGCTCCGGACTATCTAACGACATGGTGAAAATCACTAACTGCCCATTCTATTCCTTCTCTAGGAGTGCGAGCACACAATGAATAATGAGACAATTAGACAATAAAAGACCCCATATGCACAATGCATTATTGAATTTCGGAGGAACACAGCTTGAACTGAAGTGTTCACTTTTTGACTTGAGTCAGTTGAGTCTTGACTCGATCGAGAGCATGCATCGATACATACATGGATCGCGCTTCGGACGATACCGGCAGGTGCGCGTGGCCGCGTGCACAATGCAACGGTGACGTGTGGCCAAAACTTACTTGCAGCCGGCTAGCCGTGACTTGGTGACGTAGCGGGGTTGGCGGTTATATCAGCTTCAAAATTCAAAACAAAAAGCAAAAGAGTGTAAAGGCTATTTTTTTACCACTCAAACAAACCTGAAATCGGATGATCAAATTCTCATTTCAAAACCACTCATACATTTTATAAATCGTTATACATGTAGTAGTTGATGGTACCTACAGGAAACTTTGGGAAGCTGAGATTACAAGAGGTACCCAAAAGGAAGTAAATAGGGCTGTTTTTTTTGTTGTTACTAGGGAGTCGTCAAATACTTGACAACTCCCTGGTTGTTACTAATCAGAGTTTCATGCTACAATTTTTTTATAGCATTGAGATGTGGATGGTACTGCCAAGAGTGTTTATGGACTCTTGCAGTTGGTACCAGGGAGTAGTACAATATATTGTACTACTCCCTGCTTGGTACTAGACTGCGCATTATTGGCTCCGTATCATGATGTACATGTAGATTGCACATTGCAATGTGGATATGCGAGGGTGGACTTATTAAGCTGTGCATAGTTCATCTCCCTCTCCTCCCCCGTTTCACACGCACGCCAACAAATCGGCCACTTGAAAGACCGCAGCCAATAATCCGACCAGGTAGTCTTGTAAGAATGAGTTTCTAAAAAAAGTCTATCATTTCACCGAATCTGAAACTAGCTGCACAATGGCTCCACCCCGCTACAATGCATTTAGAAAAGCGATCCTGTCAGCTTTTCTATTATTGTGTTGTCAGTGAAGTTGGCTACATTTGCTTACAAAATACTTCTGCAACCCCTGTAGAAGTGAATCACCCATCGCAAAGGTCGAGGTATAATGAATAGGTCCGCAGAGCTGTGCGTACGTGTGCACACAAGGACAGCCTGCCAGCATTCTACGCCAGCCAGAGCAACATCAAATAGGAGTGGATTAATTAAATCACGTATTGTTGTTAATAAACACACAACACATACAATCACACGGCTTTACACCCATGTCCCAGGGAATACCGAGAGAATGCTCCCCGATCTTGGACAAGAGGCAAGGGAAGAACTCTTCTGAGTGTAGATTTACATGTACATGTAGCAAAAAAAGAAGAAACTTACACCTAGAGAAAATGCGAGGAGATAAAAACTCAAGCTTACTAAGAGGAGATGAGGGATTGTATGTACAGTGGGTGTAATGTAGGGAACAGCAGCAGCAGCAGCAGCATCAAAGAATGAACTAACAAACGGGCATACCAGTATGGTGACCATGGTGACCTGTTGTGATTACCAATTAGGTTAACAAAAGAGAAAGGAATTTTGAGGGACGGTTAGAGGTGGACAGACATGAAACAAGGAAGGAAGAACAGAGTCAACCGAAGGCAAAGTGTTGAAAAAAGAATCAGGAATAATTATCAGGGAATAGTCTATGTACAGTGAAAGGTCGCGGCGGGTGGATATGATCATCTAGAATTGTCAAAGCTGTTGGCTGAAAGTAACATCAAATAGATACCACCAGATACATAGGAAAAAGGGGAGCGTTACCAGTAGAGGTTCTTTGAAATGAACGTACCCACACTGCCGAACCAGCTGCCCTGCTCGGAACCCTGGCCGGTTCTTTGCACAGCCTGGAGGAGAACAAATAGAGAACAATCATCATCACTAGACTAAGAGTTGCTGCTCACGGTGGCATTGGTGTGTGACAGTGGGAGACTGCACCACAACACACAGCTCAGTCGGGAGTGCAAGATGCCCTGTTGCAGCACGCAGTCACAAATTTCTCTAAAAAAAGTACCCCCCCCCCCCCCCCCAAGAAAACCCCAAATGAATAGTTCATGGGTAACAAATTTTAGAACCTTGCAATGACATAAATTTAGGAAGTTTGCGATGAAACCATACAATTTCCCTGGATGGCTGGTGAGTGGCAAAAGGCTGGAGAACAAACACTTACCTTATTGGAATGTTCAGGATACTCTGCATCATCCGCCTCTGGCAAGTAGTCAGGAAGCTGCATGGGGAAGACAACAGAAAAAAAGAATGGTCTGAGACTCTCCATGTTGCTTGTTCACAACAGAAATTTGATTCGTTAAAAGGGGAAGTTCACCCCAAAATGAAAACTTCACAACTGGTAGCGAAAAATGCACTGATTCCAATGGTGAATGTCCCAGGTGGATCGGGGCAGCCGTTCCCGTGGATAGCAGCTTGACGTTTTCACTGAATTTGGTGACATCGCGATGATGTCATTAACGGGCCTAGACTAGGATGAATTTATGACGTCAAAGAAAAAAACTTTGTATGGGAGTAGATGGGAAATAACCAATTTCTTTCTTGTTTCTCTACAACAACGAACTTTTTACCAGGATTTTTCCAGTCGGTATACCAGTAGGGTGCCATATGTCACATTCCAAAGTTTGAAAACCATCCGACTACTTTGTGACAATGGAGAGCCAAAACACTAATATACTACGCCCCGAACTCTATGGACCCTGAAATTTTAATTTTACACCGGACTTCCCCTTTCACCCACACCGAGATGCCGGATATCGCAACTTGGTGCAATGCAGAGCCTGTACGGGACAGGTCATAAATGCCGATATTTTCCAAAAGACCCCCCCCCCCCCCCCCGATACTGCATCACCTAAAGAATACACATGTACAGTGTGTCTATCTTTTCCTAGAGAACATCAATATCTGTTCAGGTCACTCATGAAACAAATAGCTCTTGATGATACCTAGGCTAGAATCGCCCAAGCCCGAGCACATGAGTGCATTGTCAGACTGCACAGCTGCTTTTGAATATTCACAACTTGCGTTAGTATCCTATATTGTAGGCCATGGCACACAGATATACATAAAACTAGTCACTTGAGTTCTCACAAACTGAAGTTGACCCGCTCAACAAGGCATCTTTGAGAACGAGTCAAGTCGGCAGCAAGAAGTACTCACCGCATTTTCTTTTCTATCAGGTGTAGCCTTGGCAGGGGTGGCATTGAACTCGATGAAGGTCTAAGTGACCAAGCATGATGGAGGGCGATGGGTGAAACAGAGAGAGAGAGAGAGAGAGAGAGAGAGAGAGAGAGAGAGAGAGAGAGAGAGGAGAGAGAGAGAGAGAGAGAGAGAGAGAGAGAGAGAGAGAGAGATAGGCACACACACACAGATCGTGATGCTCGATGCCAATAAATAGAAGATATGTTCGTTGCAAGCATGAAACACATTTGGTCGGTGCAATACACCAATGCATATGGCCGATTGGTTTGCAGGCCTGCCTGCGAATCATGAGGCCCCGAGTTCGAGACCCGCGCTGGCAGCAGGGAGCGTGTAAAAAGACTTTCTACTAGGGGTGAAACGGTTCCATGCTTTTCATGTTCGGGTACCCTAATGCCAGCATAGTTTCCCACGGTTCGGGTATCGGTTCCATGCACTCTTTTCTCCAGAAAGACAAAATGCGTTCGCGACATTTATTTTTTAGAAAAAACATTTTTACGAGCAAGACCGAGACGTCGGAGAGTCCATGTGCGAAGAAGATAATGACCTAGAGAACTCTTTGGAAGAGCGGTGATCGTAAGGCAAGGCATTTAAATCTTCAGTAGACTTGACGTGTACATGTATTTGTACGAAGACGAGATTTTTCGAGTTTCGGTTCGAAATTTGACGGAACAGGTACCCGATTCTTTTCACCTGGCGGTTCCAAAACCGGTTCCTTACCCGAACCGTTTCACCCCTACTTTCTACGCGTGTTGAACTGCGCCGACACCCACAGTCAACTGGGTACTCATAGCTCGGAGTGAGGATAACAAGGATGCAGTTTACAGGGTTATGGGCCGTTAAGTGCCCGATTGGTTGAGAGACTCGCCTCCTCTCTCCAGACTCACTTGTGAGGTCTGCACTCGCCACTGAAGGTGTAAAGGCATAGTGGTGGCCTGCGGAAGCGAAGGCTAGGTTTTGTGTTTCTGAACATTCAAGTGATGCTAACGCGGATCCCGCGAATATTATTATTTATTAATACAATCATTATCACAACAATTACACGGTCCCTGACCGGGGCTTGGTTGTGTACCTATGGATGCCAGAAAATGAGGCTGACTGACTCTGACGTGAGCCGTGAGTATTTTGAAAAGTAGGGCCGACACCCCTTGAGTACTGAGTACCTTGTACATTCACCGGACATGCACACCTGCTTGAGGGTGACTTATCTAACAGCATATCTAGTTTTAATGGAAGAACAGAGAAGAACCTACCTCTTCGCCGCTCTCTGTCTTCACAACTTGTTTGGCCGTCAAGAAGCCGGTATTCGCTACAGCGTCACAAAGCAACTGCAACGAAAGACAAGAGAAAATGGGAGATATGGAAGTGAGTGGAGAGAAGAAGCAAAGATGACTCTCAAGCCGACCACCCAATTCCACCAGGTACTGTGCACATTCAAACAAGTGTAAGTTCCTCGAGCAGAACATACTACTTGTAGTGACCAATACTGGTAAGTAGGATTTCATTGCAACCGTGGCACATGTAGTTATGTAGCATCATGGGAATGACATTATTGTAAAAGTAAGTCAATCCAACCGTCGACCATTCGCATTTTGCACCCTGAATGCAGGCAATGACATGGAGTAAGAACAATAAATGCAATCGAAGACCAGCTAGCTGTTAAGACTAGCAACAATTTAATGCTAACATTCAAAAGCAGTCTGATATGCACAGCGCCTTACTGCGGGTTTGAGCTCAGCCTTGCAGCGCACAATGCATCGGTAACGAGCGAGGTCAAACGTGAAGCTGACTACTCCAGAGACGCGGAGAAGCTCCTCTTCGAGCACTTTGCGGCAGCCCTGATGAGATAACACACACATCACCCACAAAACGGCGAGCGATGAATGCACTAATCACATCACCACGAAACGGCTAGAGATAAAATGCACAGCATGTTCAAATTAAACTAGACCACATAAAGCCACTGAAACAGTAAACAAAGTTTTTTTTACATGAAGCCAATGAATGATACAGTGCTAAAATAAAATGCATCTTCATGGCACATCGCAGCGCACAGTTATCGGTATGACCAAGAGTACATGAAAACCAGAGTGTGCAGCTTGGGGTCTTCTCTGCTATGGGTGTCTGTCACGGCGGAATTCCGTGATTACATCATATTTGGTGCAGATCTGAGGCGGGAAATGGCGTAGTGCGTACAACTGAGCTGCAGTTGTGCAGAAAGAGACCTGCTTGAATCCTGCTTGTACGCACTACATCACTAAAATGATGTAATCACGGAATTTCGCCATGACAGCAACCCATCCGAGCTGCACACTCTGGTTTTCATGTACTCTTGGTATGACCGTCCTGATCAGTACTAAAGTGCTGTATTGTATGTATCATCATGCCACATGGGAATGCACAGTATGACATACTGGTTCTGTCAGGCCGTAGATCTGCAGTGTGATTGTCCGGGCATTCTTGACAGAGCCCATCTTGAAGAAGGAGCCCATTGGCGGAGCGGTGACCGGAGCACGCCTTGGTTAGTCACACGCAGATAGATACAGACACATACACAGTGGACACACATCCACAGCGGGCACACATACACACAGACACACCCATACACACAGTCCTACACATCAGCAAGAGATTCAATCAACCGCAGACCAACATCCACAACTCGCAAACACACTGGCGACGCTCACAATGTACGTAATACAACAAGCTATGCCACTAGTATAATGATGACTGTATGCCTTACGTGGTTGTTGCGGGCAGTAGTAACTGATAGACGTTCTCGGCTAGAGTGCTGCATTCCGACACTTCAGGTCTGGAAAACAGCAGAACACAAACATACCTCAAACGCTCGTAACTACAGACTGTTTTAATTTGGTTCAGATACCCCAATACTTTTCGCCAGACTCCCATGAGGTTGGGCCTTGTCTTGAATAGCCGTAGTGTCACTGATTAAAGCCGGATTCATTCCTGTAGAAGCCGATGTCAGGGCTAGGCTTCTATCAAGAGTACATGAAAACCAGAGTGTGCAGCTTGGGGCCTTTTCTGCTATGGGTGTCTGTCACGGCGGAATTCCGTGATTACATCATATTTGGTGCAGATATGAGGCGGGAAATGGCGTAGTGCGTACAACTGAGCTGCAGTTGTGCAGAAAGAGACCTGCTTGAATCCCGCTTGTGCGCACTACATCACTAAAATGATGTAATCACGGAATTCCGCCGTGACAGCAACCCATCCGAGCTGCACACTTTGGTTTTCATGTACTCTTGCTTCTATTCACATCAGGCTCCTATTCAAGTCACATAATCACACGTACCACGTGACTGATCAAAAACTCAGATAGCTGAGCAGAACGAGTTGTTCGTATGGTGACCTACATGTAGGTAACGAACAAGCATACAGTACTGTCGGGCGCCAAAGAACGACCAGGCTAGAATTTTACCAAGCACAGCACACCAATGTATACACCGTAACTGCACATACACTGTAATATATGAAAATAAGAACGGTCTAGGCTAGAAGGCTGATCCCCAGTTCTTCGGCGACCGGCTGTAGTGAGGATCCGGAGCCGGCAGCTTTCTTGTTTGAAACATTTTGCTTTTCACAATGCCAATACATGTAATTATGAAACATGCAGAAAACTCACTTGTCAACCAGGATCCTCAAGCTTTGCAGCATACCCAGTTCAGATCGCATTGACACTCTGTTTCCTGGATACTGCGCTAGATTCTTCAAAGCCTGCATACGACAACGCAAGCATGGATCCGGACACATGAGTTACATGTACGCACAGTAGGACAAAGAGTACACAACCATAATTATGAACTCTTGGTAGGACCAATGAGGTAGTTTGTCGAATCAAAGAGAGTTTATCACTCAGGGCTACAACCGGACCAGAGTGGAAACAACAGCTTGATTATTGAGCGCGAGCCTTACCTCCAAGGACGTTTTGACAACGTCAGCATTCTGATTGTCCAAGAACAGCACCAAACTCTGAATGCAACTCTGATCCTGCCAACATAAATACACATTCCACATTGGAGAAAATCAGCAGCCGCAAGCACGAATTCCTTCCCTGCTGAACTGCGAACGAACCTTTACAATCGTTGCCCTATTGGCTGGGTCGGCTGAGAGATCGCGCAAGTGTTTTACAATCGGCAGAACGTCCATGGCGGAGAGCTTTTGTCACGAGTCCGACATGGAAAATCCTGTTCACCAACTCGGAGTCAAATCTTTGCTGGCTGAGGAATCAGGTGTTGCAAAGGCAGCTTGACGCTTTGAATTTTGCGGGCCTTTCACGATTGGTGGGAAATGACATCATCGCCGTTTTTATTGGTGGAGATTTGAAGGCACGAATTTCAAAACTCAAAATATGCCGTGAAGGGTTCACACTTGCGTGCGTACAAGTGGCAAAGGGCAGAGATCCAGTCTATTTTCAGCGACATTTACTGTACTTTTGTCGAAGCACTTCAAAGTTCAGGCCAACTGCTCACGAAAGCTAGCTGCGTAGAGGCAGCCAAGCTAACCGAATATATTCATGTCTTAGAGAGAATCATTCTTGATGCTGGCAGAAATTCTTATCAGAATGGTCTTGGAGTATCTCGGCGTCAGAGATCGACAGGTAAAGCAACAAACACTGCAGGGTTGGATATAATTTCATATTATTGAATAAACTGCGAATGTTCAATTTCGTATTGCACCGGAACACAGGACCATGATCTCGTGCGGCGCATTGGATCCTCCAGGAGCGCTGTGCGTGCAATTGGTGCCAGCCTGCCATGGAGTCCAGATCGCACCCCGTCTCTAAATGTAAGTAATGTGGCATTTTCTTCCCACTGATCACATCCTGTACACAATAATAAAACATTACACATACAATCAGTTACACGGTGACATTGCCAGTACAAACACACTAATAAGCACATTACTATAATTTTATGAAGAAGAGGTTACTGTTATTATAGTTGCCTTTTCCTCGCCTACTATTACCAACATTTCATGGATATGAGATTCCGTACAGTAAAACTTCCGTACAATGTACCTCCAGTAGATGTAAAATAAGTCCTTCATGACCGACGTACTCTATATCTGTGGTCAGATGACTGAAAAGGATATACAGTGTTTTCAAAAAAGTACATAAGATCTGACACAAAGGGGGAAAACGCATGTTGTATCCAGGGTACATTTAGACTGAAGATTCATTGGGTATGTTCGATTACACACAGCTCTGTCCATTCTAGAATTCTTTACAATGCATACACCGCGTGGATTTCCGCATCAGAATCAACGGAATCCAATGCCGCCCAAATCCGAACTGAAACTTAAAATTTCTAATTCTCCCACCAGAATTTGCACATTTGATTTACGCTTTATTGAAACCATAATTATGTGCATGCTACATGTACACCGCCACTGCAGTTTCTTCCTATGAACAATGTACATGCAGGTGAACTCGGAAGTGTCTGCTTCTGTATGGAGTATATCGTGTAGGAGTGAAATGCTTGTTCAATGCTCGCTGTATTGTAGCCTGAGTAGCCTTTGGAAGCATCTCATCAAAACTATAGCTTCGATACATGTCCTTGTAATTTTGCTGCTGGCGTCCATGTCTGGGAATCATAGAGGAATATGAAGCCAGTATTCATGAGCCTCTCTTGTTGTTGATATCTCGTCAGTCTAGTGTATCATGTCATTTTAATGATTTTGCATCGCCCTCCAACGCTTTCCTTTTGTATCCTGATCGGTGTGTATGTACCCTTTGTAGATTCCGAACCTCAGTCTCAACCCCGCGTTGAGATTATCGTTTGCAGGAAAGCCGTCTCAAACTCTAGATGTGGAATACAGTTCCAGTCATGTTCCATCATTTGCTGACGTCAGCTGGATTCATGCTGCGGACAAAACAATTCTAGAAGTCGGCGACGACACCCTGTTCTTACCGGAAGAGACTGAGAGTGGAGCAGCATGCATAGATGAACAGCCGGAAGGTTAGTCCCTATCATAGGCAATGAATGGTGCTGTTGCTGGTCCTGCTACTAAGCGTTTGTTGTGAATCTATTGAAGGCAATGGAACTCGCCTGTCCTTTGTAGAGTTCCTGATGTGTGTGTGTAAGTGTGTGTGCCCTTGTTTCTTTTCCTTTCTCGCTGTTGTCTCCCGCTTCTAGGAGCGACGTGGCCATTTTGTGCCAGTTGTACATAGTAGTAGCAGTAGTGTGTGTGTGTGTGTGTGTGCGTGCTTTGTTGTGATCGGCGTCAAGTGTCTACATGTATTTCCCTAATGGACTGACATATATTTAAACGCACCTCTCTCTCTCTCTCTCTCTCTCTCTCTCTCTCTCTCTCTCACTCACTCTCTCCCGTGTGTTGGCGCAGAGACTGCGAGCCCCCCTCAGGATCCTGAAGCAATGGCTAAGATTTCTGCGTTGGAAGTTGAGCTGGCGAACCTTCGAGCCCAGCTGGCTCAGGTTGTGAAGCATCAGGAATCAGTTAGCATAGCAGTTGGCCCTGTGTGTAAGTGATCTTCTGTTATTATCATCATGAGGGATATGATCAGGGAGTAGTGGTTTTGGCCACCACCTCCCGGGATGATATCCGGGATTAATAAAGCCGGCAATGAGGCATGAGCCACACTTCTTGGCAATCCACTGACTAGCTTTTTTTCCCCTGGACACCAACTGTTACACAGCAAACAGTTCTGTAGTGCTCTTTCAGGTTCTTGCCGAGTTACCTGATCAATTTATTTGCCAACACGTGTATTCTCTGCACAGCGGTAGCAGCACCTACACCGGTGTGTCCAGCCGTGGCACCACCACCTCCGCCTCCCCCACCACCGCCCGGCCTCATCACACCCGACCAGGTCAATGTTATCGAGCAGATCCGAGTAAGTAGTGTGGTCATTGGCTACCCCAGCCATGTATTGCTTGGAATAAAATAAATAAATAAGTATCCATGGTTTTCGCCCGGATGATTCATTGTTTGAAAAAGAGCTCAATGCCCATTGCGATGGTATTGGGACGTTTACGTTCGTTTGCAGTCCAGAGATGTTTCCCCGGAGCCAGAAACAATGATTTCATTTTAGTTTGCATAAGATCATTGCTATATCCACCGTATGAATAGTGTGCCTGCAAGCAATTTTGAATACCTGTGTTGTATAGAACAGACATTTTCCATGCTGGAGTACGTCCTAGGACACACCGAGAAGAAGTGGCACTGCATGGCTGCTTTTGACTAGGTGCCGTTGCTACGCACCCTGACTGTGGTGCTTGTAACTGCCAGACTTCACTCTGTGTGTGTGTGTGTATGTGTGCTCTGTGGAGGATTGCTAACAGTTCCATGATCTATCCGGTGTCTTGCTGTTGTTTTCAGAGAAGTCGTGCGGCACGCAAAGGCCTAGCTGTCAGCGACATGCCCTCGACGGAGGACGATAAGCTTGATATGGGTCAAGTTATCAAGCAAATCGGTTCCGTAAAGTTACGCTCTGTTCAGAGGTGGGTTTGTGGGGAAAGGTGTGGTGGCTTCGCATCTTCTGTCGTTGCGTGTTTTCTCGGCACTGTCACACGACTGAATGGAATCAGCTTGAATTGCCCGCAACTGTCCGTTGATGCTGTGCTGACAGTACCCGCGGCATTGTTCCGTATACCCTTGGCTATGTTTTTGGGGTGCAGGTAGTCATCTGCATCTTGTGTGGCTGGGTACATTGTCCCATGCACGTGGTGTTCTGCTGATTGGTACATTGTCACATGCACAGTCTGCTCTGTGTTGATCGTGCACCTTACCACCTTGATAAGCTGCGTATAATTATAATGTTTGTGTTCCCATCATCTTCACAGATCGCCCGGTGGGACTCCAATTCGACAAAAGCCTCTGTCTGATGCCAACGACCCCGCAACAATCATAGCTAATGCTCTGCAGAGGAAATTTGCAAGAACAAACTTGTCACCGGGTCCAGCTGCAGGATGTGGAGGTGTGTAACATGCATTTGTTTTTAGTCTTAAGAATTTGCAGCTCTGTACGGCCAGTCGTAAAGTGTGGGATGCATAACCTTGTTTTTGCTATGCACTCGTTAACCCTCCTGGGACCAATCATGCCCAGATATGGCAGTCAGTACAGGTTTTATTGATGTCACTTGCCATTCACAGCAAGCATGCCAAGTGCAGCCAGGGAGAGAGAGAGAGAGAGAGAGAGAGAGAGAGAGAGAGAGAGAGAGAGAGAGAGAGAGAGAGAGAGAGAGAGAGAGAGAGAGAGAGAGAGAGAGAGAGAGAGGGAGGGAGGGAGGGAGGGAGAGAGAGAGAGAGAGAGAGAGAGAGAGAGAGAGAGAGGGGGGGGGGGGGAGAGAGAGAGAGAGAGAGAGAGAGAGAGAGAGAGAGAGAGAGGGGAGGGGGGAGGGGGAGAGAGAGAACTTTACAACCGGCTTGCTTTACGGTAGTTCCTGTGCCATGCAATGCAACGCATTGGGAGTTGCTTTGCGAGGTCGCACTGCCTGAAAAATCTTACCCTAAGTTACATGATGACAACCATAAAGCAGGTGTCTGGTACATGGGCCAGGCCCGCCGAAACCGGTCCGGGTTTTTTTTGGTCAGGTTATCGGACCAACTCTGTGGCCACCGACGCATGCTTACTGCTGAGGAGGGCGCATTTCCCCGCCATATCACACACAAAAAACATGAATGAACGACTATGGTATTACCAGACCAATTGAAAACTGCTTCCGGTGGTCCTGTAGGTGACTGTGTTGTCGGAGAAACAGGCTTGTAGCCCAAACATGGCAAAACCCAGCTGTACATGGTATCCATTACCTGAGTACATGTAAACTGCCAGTGAGTCAGTGACCAGTCTCTATTTTTTTACTTTCCCATGGATCACGGATTGCCGTTCAGACTGGTATCACTTGTCAGATGCAGAACCCCCTAAATTTTTGCAAATGTTCTACTGGAAACCATATGCCTTCAGTTTTGGCATACCCCGCCCCTGGTTGTGTGCTGTGCTGCGACTTCGCCACAAAGCATCTCAAGTTTTCAACTGATGATGTAGTCGCATAACCTCTATACTACAATAGTGCATGTACAAGTGCATGCTACGGAGGTTTGAATATGACACTGCAAATTCAGGTGCACACCTACCTAGCCATACGACACGCCACGCACACACACACACACACGCCCTGTGCGCGCGTGCTCATGCGTGCACGCGTATCTAGATTCATGCAGTGACCTGCATGTGCAGTTGGGCCATGTTGTGTTTTCGCAGAGTACCGTCTAGGTATCCATAGAAGTGTCGCAATATGCCTTACTCGCAGCTATGATGTGATGCATGTCGCCCAACCACACACAGTGACACATGGAGTGTTTACACCGTGCAGTGATTTGTACAAGCTGACAACACCTCACTGTCAGTAGCATCAACAACATGTAGCCCCCCCCCCCCCTCAGAGAGTGTGCAACTCCTGCCGACAGTGCTGCCCCAACAAAATTTCAAATTGGTTGACGTCATTTTGATGTTGCACGTGTTTCCTTGCGCTAGTACTGTAAAAGCCTTATATATTATAACAAAGTACTAATCCTAACGAGTTAACGAGGAGAAATCTGTAGTTAAAATAGAAGTCGTTATACAGAAATCGATACATATTGTTGCTATTGAGCGTAAGCTGGTCAAATTTTTGGAAATCGGTCTAACTTAAGCGCCTCGTTAGAATACTGTAATTTCACAAATTTTCGGTGTACTTTTATTTTCGGTACCTTCGGTGTGTCTGTTTCATACCTAAAATTTCAATACACCGAACAAACACTAAGACACATAATCGAATAGGGAACTGCTTCTCTGTACCGAAAATCTCTGTTCACCTAACCTGGCCTGTTGCCCTCATACCGAAAATATTGAGCACCGAAAATTTCTGTAATTAGAGTAATGGCTTTTACAGTAGTTTGTACAGGATCAAATGGGGATTTATCTACCGGCTCCAGGATGCGTCTGATGATACGTGTGCAAGGCACATTGTCGGTACAGCATCCATAGGCAGTAGAGTTACACGCTTTTTGAGATTATGTTCTCTGTAGTGTTTGGTAGTGCTAAGTGTTTGTTCGGTAACCGATACGAAGTGTAGCTACTAGCCCACCGTGCATTCTCCTGACAGCACCCTCCCGTGCCTTGCCTCATTCCTCCGTTGGTGTAGAACCGTTTGACACTCCCAGCCAGGTAGAATGTTTCACAACACCTATCGTTGCCAAAACAATCCGGCCAATGCTGATACAGTGGTATGGTACGCAGACATGACGGTGCCACATAGTGGCATTCATGCTTTTACCAGTGTTTGCTGTAGAGAACAGCAGTGGGCAGATTTTTCGGCGACGATTGTAGCGGTACATACATTCATGCTTCTTTGTACATGTAGTGGCCGAGTGCTATTACATTCGAGTCGCACGTTGTTTCCAAGGGGTGTTAGCCCGGGACGTTCTTATTTTTCAGCAATCTGGCTGCGTTATTACAGCACGTTCTTAGAACGTTATCCTATGTATTCCAAAAGCTTCCCGAGTGCATGCATTCAGGTTTGTATGCAGATACACAGACACACAACTGTTCTTCAATGTCAGTCCCGTCACGCATCACGAAACAAAGAAGCCAAGAGCAAACAAGAACAAGAAAACTGCCCCCTGCTTGACACTGGAGTTGCTGCTGGTGCATGCTAACTTACACATTGTAAGAATTGTACATGTTAGCGGGCCATGGGGCTCTTTCATACACCCCTCAAGCACATCATCCAACCACATGTGTTCAGCAAAGTCATCCATGGCCAGAATCAGACCAGGAACATTAATCTGATACAGAGGTACATGCACGATATAATATAATGAACTGAACTATGCTAACTACATTTGCAAACAGACAATGTTAAAAATTCTTTGGATTTTTTAGCTTTTCCCGGCTAGTGTTGACAAACACAGCGTTGAATAAAATTGATGTGACGGGGATGGGTCCGGAATAGTTAACAAAATGATTTTGAGGTTCAAGTCGAGTATGAAAAAGAAATATGGCTACCGAAAGCCAGCACCTGCTCCCACCAGGTTATTGGTT